GACTTCCTCATGACATTGAACAGTTTAACTTTCATGCTTTCTGGGCAGAGAAATGGTCCTGGGAACAGTTCTCCTTCCACCTGATAGTTATGGCAGAGATCAGGACACGTTGCTTTGCTGCCTGTGCAGTGAGGCCTCAGAAACTGCTCTACCCACCTTAACAGGTATGATTCGGAGATGATAGTTTGCAGAGGGTAGATAAGCACAGTAATAAAGTGTGAATGGAGATCTCAAAAAAAAAAATGAATCGTATCTATTATTGTCTTTTTTTCTTAGCCAGCTCTTTTGGCTAGAACTACATAATGTGTAAGATAATAGTTTTGGAATTCATTTTCAAAGTTCTTTTGTGTGTGTGTGTGTGTGTGTGTGTGTGTGTGTTCTGGTATTTTACAGTAGGACCTTAATAAGTACTTACTGAAAAGAAGAATAAATGAGTAATATGTAGTACAATATTTTGTGGTCTTAAGATACATGTGGCTTTATATGAAGCACTTAAACTATTTTTTGAGAATTGTTAAATGATTTATCTAACCACCTTAAATAATTTTGAAGAAGTATTATAAAGTATTAGCTTATAGGAGAATATGCAGTTTGGTAAAGTAGAATTCTGGCAATATAAGTGTTTGTAAAATACTTGGAAATGCCTAAGCTGAAAATTTGTAGATTAATTTTTCTAATTTGTACCTGACAGACTTCTAATTAAATTGTTAAAAGCTATTGAATGACTAATTGGTGAAAAGTGTTTTTAAATACAGTTAAACGTTAAAATTATCTCTGAATTTGAGTTTGAGTCTTAATCTGGATTTTAACTTACTTAATCCTGATAATTTACTTTGTATAAGCTATTTTTTATGTTTAGCCTTATTTTTATTGTATCCTGCAAGTGTATCAGTAGAAAAGGTAATAAAACTACATTTTCTTAATACTCATAATGTATTCCTGCTACCTGTGTTTTATATTTTATATATGAAAATTAGTCTTTTGTCTCATATAAGTGTGATCTACCCTATAACAATGATTAATAAAAGATCTGTCTTCCTTTCTAAGGTACCTAATGTGTAGTAGTCACTTCACATTGTTTAAAAGTAAGACATTTCCAGACTACACACTGGAATTTGGGAGGGTGCAGGACATTTGAATCATGTTTTTCTGTTTTAAACTGTTGAGGAAAGTGGTGTAGACTAGATGCACTAGATAGCACTGTAACATTTACTACTTGCTTTTCCTGTGGGTTTTTTTCTTTGTCTTTTTTACCTTTTTCTCGTTTAGTTCTGTAAGTTTTTATGATTTAATAAATGTTCATCTTTGGCCTTGAGAAAATGTCAGGATGTTGTTTTGTCTTTGAAAAAATTTCCCTTTGTTTAGTGCTAGTGGTAGGATGGCGTTTCTGTGGATATCCTGTGCAGACGGATTGTACGGAAAGTTGACCCTTAGTTTTCTGAGAACAAAAGATTGAGCAGGGCGGGGTGTGTGTGTGTGTGTGTGTGTGTGTGTGTGTGTGTGTGTGTGGAGGGCGGCGAGGTTGGAAGAAGAAGGAAGGAAATAAGATCTTTTGACTTGATCATAAAGGTTATAAAGCCAGAGATGGGGAGAAGGAGAGTGGGGAATAAAAAGGATTGTTTTCCATTATGGTTCTTTAGTACTTTGGCTTCAAAAATTACTTTTATCCTGTTTTTATTATTTTGTATACTTGAGAAATGTACATTACTCTTTGGTCTGAATATAGGATGAGCAAAAGTAGGTTTATAGTTGTTCATATGGAAAATAGTGTAATAACTAATAATTAATACAAGAATAAACTGTTTTACATACTCATAACTGTAGTACTTACTTTTGCCTAACCCTGCATATCTTTTAAGTTTATATAAGATTGTGCCGTAGGTCTCATTCTCTTTTCTCCTTTTGTCAAATAACATGGCTTTTAAGAAGCTGACTTGCCTTTAACAATCCTCTTTTGAGCTTGTTGGGAGTTCCTCTTCAGTACATGTGACTACATGTCAAAAACATGTCTTGCCCATTGACAGCCTGTCATTCTACTGTCTTCCGTGCAGATTTCATGCTCATCCAATTTTAATGCTTTCTTTTCTCTGAAACCTTTACCGACTTCAGAGCTTGGTGTTCTATTTCGTTCTCTCAGAGCATCCTCTGAGTACATGATTCATTTATACAACATTTTTTTTTAGAGCCCCTTATATACATGCACTAGTCCGGGTGCTTATAATTTACCAGTGACCAAAGCAGACAGAAATCTGTCCTCATAAAAGTGGTATTCTGGTTGAGGGAGTTAGCTTAATACACATGAATATAATAAAAAGTAAATTATATGTTTTGTGGTATTAAGAACTTTGAAGAGAAATACATTGGGAAGGGAGATATGGAGAATGCGTGAGTGTTGTCAGGAATAGATGTATTTTAAAATAAGACAGTCAAAAAATAGAGCACTGGGGGAGTAATATTTGAGTGAAGTGTCATGTGGTAGATATCTTGGGGAAGAATGGTTTAGGTAGAAGGTAAAGCCAGTACAGGGGTCCCAAGGCAGGGAAATGCTGGGAAGTCCAAGGAAGGCCAGTGGTCAAAATGGGGCATATTAGGGGAGTAGGAGTAGGAAGATGAATTGGGTAAGATAAGTTGTAAAGGGCCTTGTAGACCCTTGTTAGGACTTTGGTTTTTACTGTAAGATACAGGGAGCCATCTAAGATTTTGAGCGGAGGAGTAATATAATCTGATTTACGCTTTAAAAACTGGCTGATGTGTCCTAGCTGGTTTAGCTCAGGGGATTGAGTGTTTTGCGCCCCCCCACCCCCACCCACCCACCTCACAGGACTGAACAGCCCTGGATTTGATTAAGTCAAGGGCATGTACCTTGGTTGCAGGCTTGATTCCTGGCCCTGGTTGGGGCGCAAACAGGAGGCAACCAACTGATGTATCTCATGTTGATGTTTTTCTTTCAGTGTCTCTTTTTCTCCTTTCCACTCTCAGTGGGAAAAATATTCTAACAACCAAAAAAATCTGGCTGGTGTGTTGAGACTAGATAATAGAGAACTAATAGAGAACAAGGATAGAAGCGTGGAGATTAGTTAGGATAGTGAAATAATCTAGGTAAGGGATAATGGTTGTGACACAGTATAGTAGTGGAGGGGGTGAGAAATGAATAGATTCTCAATATTGAAATTAGTGCCAGTAGAATTTCCTGATGGTTTAGTTGTGATATATGAGAACAAAAAAGGAATCATGAATGATTCCAAGGTTTTTTTTGTCATTCCCCTCCCATCACCCAGCTTTATTGATATATTGACATACAAGAATATGTAAGTTTAAGGTTTATGATGTGTTGATTTGATAGACTTGTGTATTGCAAAATGATTACCACCATAGCCTTAGGTAATACACACTTTAAATCACATCATTACCATTTCTTTTTTTGTGGTGAAAACATTTAAGGTCTATTCTCTTAGTAACTTTCAAGTATATAGTACAGTATTATTAACTATAATCACTGTGCTTGCTGTACATTAGACCCCCAGAACTTACTCATAGCTAGAAGCTTGTACTCAAGCTTTCAAGGTTTTGGTTGGCATTTCATAACCCAATGGAAATTCTGCTAAAGTAGTTAATTTTTCATTAGAATAAATAATAACATAGAACATGTAGCCAGTTTAAAGGATGTTTCATATAACATAGTGTTTCATTTGTTTTTTAATTCTAATTCACTGTAACTCTGCCTTTAAACAAAGAGCTACACATTTGCTTCAAATTAACTGTCAGGACATCTGGACATATCTTTACCTTTGTCATAGTTATTCTAAAGGTAAAACAGAATTTAATTAGTTGTGGAATTTTAAATATACATTCCTTTTAAGAGGAGAAGGAATGTAATGAAGTGAAATAAACTCTAAAACTGTTAGAATTACAGATAAACCTACAACAGGAATTTGTCTATTTTATGTATAGACGGTGGTGAAACCATTTTTAAAACCCTGATTAATGCTTTTTAATATTAAAATACATGCCGTTGTTTTCTGTCGCTTACGTTTTTGTGTAACTTGATCATTCATTCAACAGTTACTGAATACATACTATCTAATAAAAGAGTAATATGCAAATTGACCATACCTCCACTATACCCACAAGCCATGCCTATCAACAATCAGGAGCAAGTATGCAAATTAACTCAACCAAGATGGCTGTGGCCAGAGAGAGAGCAAGAGGCTTGGGTTTCCCGGCAACGGAGGAAGCCAAGCTTTCCACACATCCTGGTGGGCCCAGGCCTCCACTCAAGGCTACAAAGTTTCAATCATAGAAGATAAATAAATCCCAACAAAAATGGCTGCCGACATAAATGGTTAGGGGCAATCAGGAAGGCAGGCAGGCAAGCAAGCAGTTGGGAGCCAGCGGTCCTGAATTGTGAGAGAGATGTCTGGTAGGATTGGGCCTAAATGGGCAGGCAGACATCCCTCAAGGGGTCCCAGATTGGAGAGGGTGCAGGCTGGGCTGAGGGACAAACACCCCTGTGCACGAATTTCGTGCACCAGGCCTCTAGTATTATATAACTCCTTGCTAGAAAAAGAAGATTCTTAGCCAAAGAGCACATTGTGAAGTTTTGGAGACAAACATGAATTGAGGATATAATAAAGATAAAGATAGAGGGTATTGATGCAGCAAATGCATGCTTTTTTTGAGAGCACCAGGAGGAGGAATCTATGAGGCTTCCTAGGGGAGGTATTGGAGCTGAGTGTTATGAAATGAGTCTGAGTCAGCCAGTCAAGAAAAGGGTAGAATGAAACCACATTCCAGATAGACAGGACAGTGTGAGCAAGGGCATCACAGTGTATGTTAAGATTTAAAATTTGAGATATAGAGTGGGTGGAGGTAAAGCTAGAGAAATAGGAGACCTGATCTTAAAGCCGTTGAAGGCGATAGTAAAGAGATTTTAGCTTGATGGTAAACTATTGAGGGCTAATCTTAAAAGAGTGACATGGTCAAATTTTTGTTTTGAATAGATCACTTTGCCAGCTGTGTGGAGGATGGATTTGAGGGAGACAAGACTGGAGGCAGTAGTCCAGGTGAGAGACGATGGGGATTTGAACTAAGGCATTGGCTGTAGAGATGAGAGGAGGAAATGGATTTGAAAAGAAATAAAACCACTGATTAAAGGCTTATTCTCCTGTAAATATGATAAAACCAATTTTTAAAAAATATATTTTATTGATTTTGTACAGAGAGGAAGGGAGATAGAGAGTTAGAAACATCGATGAGAGAGAGAATCATCGATCAGCTGCCTCCTGCACACCTCCCACCGGGGATATGCCCGCAACCAAGGTATATGCCCTTGACCGGAATCGAACCCGGGACCCTTCAGTCCCCAAGCCGACGCTCTATCCATTGAGCCAAACCGGTCTTGGCTGATAAAACCAATTTTAAATTTAAAATGATTGGAGAAAAGTTAGTGGCATATAGCTGCTAAAAATAATTTTAGTTATTAAGAAAATTGCTATTGGAAGAAAAGAGTGTTTTTTTGTATAATTGACCTGGATTGTAAAAACATGGTTTGTGTAGTATGACTAAACTTAGGAACCATAAAGCTTTGAGGAAGAAACCAGGTCTTACAAGGCCAACACCATTACACATGACACCATTACACATGACAGAAACTCAATAAATGTACATTGTTGGTGATATTTTCTAGAGCATTCATTTAAGTGCCTATTTTACAAAAATATATCACCAAGGAATAGAAAATAGGATATAATTTTTTCATTAAAACAATTGTAAACTATTATGGACAGTGTTGCATGGTAACACAAAGTTATTTTAGAGTGGCGAGAATATTGTATGAAACCAAAACATTTTTCTATTGTTTAACAGGTAATTTTAGGATATTTTTTTTTCTAGAAGCACTATTTTTAGACATAAATGGAGGGTCTGGATTTATACAATATGTACATATTTTTAAAAATCTGTTTTTTTCCCCACAATTTGTTTTATATGGACAGAGTAAGGGAAGGAGGGGAGTTTGGGAGCACTTACAAAACATAACTATTTTTTCTTAAAACTACCACTTCACCATAACAAAATATCCTGTATTTTTATAAAACAAATTGCCAGTTCTTTTTGAGATTTCTTCTTTCCATTTTGAGAAAAGTGCTTTTCCTGTTAATTTCTAATATTGGTGACTGCATATAAAGCACAGTTAACTGTGTTCTTTTCATTTTGTGTTTTTTCTACCTTGTTACATCTTCAACAAGTAGACTTCTCTTGTGTTTAGGAGACATTTGTTCATTCTTCATTATTCTAAAATTATATCGTTATGTCCCTCCCTGGAGCCGTCCATCTGTGCCAGCAGCTAAAATACTGCCTACTTACTGAATTCAAATGGATTTCCAGCTGTGAAATTCAAGTGAACTTACTGTGAATCTCTTTTTCTTCTTATGTCTTTCAGAAGCCTTGCACCGCCCCTATGGCTGTGATGTTGAACCCCAAGCACTGAATGAGGCCATCAGGTGGAGCTCCAAGGAGAACTTGCTGGGAGCCACTGAGAGTGATCCTAATCTCTTCGTTGCACTTTATGATTTTGTAGCAAGTGGTGATAACACACTGAGCATCACTAAAGGTAAGCTTCTGAGTAATACCCCTTACTCTTCAGTTTTCGTTAGTGGATAGGAAATAAAAGGGTCTGTTCTAGAGTCTGCCTTTAAAATTAGCTAGGTGATCTGGGCCCAGATACTTTTGGTTCATAATTGTCTGTTTTTTAAAAGTGAGAATATGTTTTTCATTGATTTTAGAGAGGAGAGAGGAAGAGGGAGAGGTAGAGGGAGAAGTAGAGGGAGAGAGAGAGAGGAAAAAAAAGAGAGAGAAAGAAACATCAGTCAGTTGCCTTATGCATGTGCCCTGACCGGGGATTGAACCTGAAACCTGGGTATGTAACCTGACTGGGAATTGAACCCCAGATTCTTCAGTGCATAGGGTGTAGCTCTAACCGCTTAGACACCGGCTGGAGTGTAATTGTTTTTTTTAACCTGTATATGAAGAAATGCCACGTTGTCTACTTTATAGGCTTATTAAGGATAAAATGAGATCGTCTTTTAGAGAAAACACCACACAGTATACACATAAACTTTCCTCATTCTCAGAATTTGTATTATATGTAATATGGCAGCATTTGTCTGTCTCAGAGGGTTCACTGTATATCTCTTCTCATTGATTGAATCATGTTGTCCATGACTGGCTGCCTGTCTGAGAACTGTTTGTTATCAGTTAGCAATGAGATTAAAAACTTGTACCCAAAGTGCAAACCAACTACATTACCAAGTACACTATTATTTAGTTCAACTGACATTTCTTTCTTTCTTTCTTTTTTTTTGAGCAAGAGTTTGGGCATGAAGAAAGTAGTCTAGTGATTCACAGTCTGGCATAAGCCTCTTAAATTATTGTGGACTTGCTCTGAGCAGCACTGGCCTAGGCATTTTATCTCTCATTTTTGTTTATATGGATCAGTGAAAAGAACAGTACCAAGGGTTTCTATTGTAGTAATATTCTCAGATTAGTTTATTTCAGTAGTAAATGCTTATAAAAGGGAATACTAAGAACATGACCAAATAAAAATCATCCATTATTGGTTTTTTTGAACAGGATAGGAAATATGAAACTTTTATGAGAAAGAAATATAAGTATGGGAGATTGTCATTGTGTATATGAATTGGATTGCTAATTTGCATAAATTTGTTCTTATCTTTTGAACCTACTGGGAGAAAATACATTTCAGGATAATTTTTCACTCCACAAAACTGTCACATTAAGTAATTATTTGTCAAACTTGCCTTTTAAAATATATATGTATTTGTTGATTTTAGAGAGGAAAGGAGAGGGAGAGAGAGTAGAAACATCAATGATGAGACAGAATCATTGATTGGCTGACTCTTGGGTATCCTAATGGGGGTCGAGCCTGCAACCCAGGTGTGTGCCCTGACCAGGAATTGAACCAGGACCTCCTGGTTCATAGGTTGACTCTCAACCACTGAACATGCCATCTGGGCCAAACATATTCTTTTTATTTGTAAGCTTCAGAATGGGGTAGGTATTAATTAGGAGTGGACATACCAAATTAAGAACATAAGCCTCCATTCAAGGAATGTTACCTTTAAATAAAATTTTTACATCAGTTTTTGAAATTTGACCAGATTCATCAAATGCAGAAATGCTAAAAACTGAGTTTCTCACCCTAGCTGGTTTGGGTCAGTGGATAGAGCATTAGTCTACAGACTGAAGGGCCCAGGTTTGATTTGGGCCAAGGGCACATGCCCGATTTGGGGCTCAATCCCCAATAGGGTGCATGTACAAGGCAGCCGATCAATGATTCTCTCTCATCATTGGTGTTAGTATCTCTTTCCCCCTTCTCCCTTCTTCTCTGAAATAAATAAAAATATTTTTAAAAAACACACACAAAAAACAACTGAGTTTCTCAACTGGGATATAAATATGTCCCAATGTGAATGTGATGGCATGTGTACATGAGCCAGGAGGTTCTAACGGCACAGGAAAAGTAAAGTGCATTATCTCCTCGTGTCAATTTACTTAGAGATTTTGGGTAGTTTCGGGGATGGATGTATGAGAGATGGGAGTTTATGCATTGGGAAGAAAGTTTTAGGATAAAACAAAGGACTTCATATAAATTTTATTCTTGTGGTTGTCTTTTAGAGCTACAATAAACCCTTATACCTTTACTGATACTTCAGTGGAGAAGTTTGTGAAGCTGTGACTCAGAACATTCTTTCCTAGATATAATTTGCATGTCAGTTATTTTCCAAGATAGCTCAGTCACTGAGGAAACATTGATAAAGTTTATTGAGTCTTCAATTACCAGTTGTGGCAACCACTAGTGTACAGCTCAAGGAATAGGATTCCCTTTACCTTATGGCCAGCAGGGATTTTTCATAAAACCTATGAAATGCCAGATTTTTATATCAGGTCCTTATAAAATAATGTTATGCTACATCTTTTTAATTATTTTAAATATAAGAAAATATATTTAAAAAAATAAAATAATTATTTTACTTTTTTTTTTTTTTAAGATGATAATTTGCTTGAAGTAAGAAACAAAGTTCTACCAGGATTCCTCTGTCAGTAGAGTAATGCTTTTCCCATAGCTCATACCCCTTTCAGTTTCCTTCCAGAATAGAAAGTTCTTCTCCCAACTGCCAAAAAGAGGGGAAATCAGACAAAAGCCTAGGGTGTTTCACTGTATCTCAATTTGATTACCTGTCATTACCAGTTCTTTATAAGGAAGCAATAATAATATGCTTAGTAAAATACTTAGTGTTTTACTTTTTCCAGTTCTCATGGAGTAAAAGAGAAAAGCTACCCAAGCAAGTTTTATTTTGTTTTTTCTAGCAGTACTAAGATTTTTTTTCCCTGTGCATTTCCACCACCACACTCCTATGCATACATTTGTATATTTTATATGTATAAAATGCAAAAGAGTCCATAGTCCTGTATTTTTTCTCACTGAATGTTTCATATCCAGGTATGTTGGGTGAGATAGTAAGAGTCAATAGAAAGTTATCCTGTGGTAGACATTTCTATAAATCTCTGAAAAAGTTAGATAACTATCATAATACTGATTCTGAGTTTTTCCTCTAATAGCCTTTGCCGATAACTGGATCATATGCTCTTGATTGATTGGGCTTTTTCCTGCTTTCTGATAGTGAGAGTGGGTGTGAACTCTATAGAAAGGCTTGCATCTCTCAGAGGTAGGGGCCTCAATTGGAAGAATTATTTAGGTGGTCAGTTATTATATTATTAATGCTATATCTTTTGCTTTCCCCATCTTGTCCATGCTGCAAGTGTAGGGGCAAGGTATATGTTGCTGGAGTCTGAAGTTGATGTTTACAACTTTAATGGAGCAATCAAGTACACGGAAGTCGTTAGCAAAGATTCTTTGAGTAACTTGAGTTTTGGGTTCCCGAATCAGACTCAGCTTCCTTTCCCACACACTAAATTTAGAGGAATGGATAGGAGTGACTCATTTTTCGTGGGGAAACTGGGAAACTGTATCTATTTAAAACTTGAGTCCTGGAAAAGATTGTGCTTTGAGAGTCCTCACTACTCACCTCCCTTTCCCCAAACAATTTTCTTTCTGAAAACATTGCTGAAAGCTCTGTGGTCAATGCTTTTGCTTTTACATTGATGGTTTTGTTGCCTTGGTGCCATGTGAAATTTAGAAGTGATGTTGTGTTTCCCGTAGCTTATCCTTAATCCTGGAGTGCTTGTTAACATTGAACCATATATAAGATACATTCCTTGACTAACTGTTTCAGGGAGAAAAAAATGAACAAAGAAATGTTTTTGAAGGGTGAGACTATGTCATTTTCCAGCTATTTGAGTAATCTTTTTATCTTTGTATACATGTATACATGGAGTTTTCTAAAGACATTTTTAGTTGGTATAAAAACCTTTGAAAACCTATAGTAAATGCCAAAATGCCACTTTTAACTATGCTTCTTTTGTTGAAGCTACAAGCTAAAGAGATCAGTGGAGGATATGATGAACAGCCAAGTTTGTTTTTATTATTTTTAAAATATTTTTATTGATTTCAGAGAGAGGAAGGAAGAGAGAGATAGAAACATCAGTGATGAGACAGAATCACTGATTGGCTATCTCCCGGGCATGTGCCCTTTTTTTTACTGGACTCGAACCTGGGACCTTGAAGTCTGCAGGCTGGCGCTCTATCCACGGAGCCAAACTAGCTAGGGCTGTTTCCATTAAAAAAAGCATTTGTTGCATAAAAGTTTCTATATATGAATTTAAAGTTGGATAATAGATTGCTTTTGAGACAAAGTGTTAACATCTCTTTCATTCTGTGTAATCTTATGACTAGGTGAAAAGCTACGAGTCCTTGGTTACAATCAGAATGGTGAGTGGAGTGAAGTTCGCTCTAAGAATGGCCAAGGTTGGGTGCCAAGCAACTACATCACCCCAGTAAACAGTCTGGAAAAACATTCCTGGTACCATGGACCTGTGTCACGCAGTGCAGCTGAGTATCTGCTCAGCAGTTTAATCAATGGCAGTTTCCTGGTGCGAGAAAGTGAGAGCAGCCCCGGGCAGCTGTCCATTTCGCTCAGGTACGAGGGGCGTGTGTATCACTACAGGATCAATACCACCACGGATGGCAAGGTAAGACTGGCCACCACCTTTAGGTGTGGATGGTCTGCTCCTTAGAAATTATATTCAGAACGACTGAAGAATATAGTTTTTATGTCTGATGAAAGAAAATAGTCACTGATGTTAGTCTGGCATGTTAAAGAGGGCTTACTTCTTTCAAAAGAATATGGTAATGGAAATTGAAAACAGTATTATAATAGAAGTTTAATGAACTAAAAGCGAAGAAGAATGAAGGAAATTGCTGGATAAATTAGCTGTTCTAAACATTGTTAATATGTAAATAGACATACTAAGTGTACCGGTTAATAATGTGGATTTTTTTCAATAGATGAAGTTACACATATGTTGATATATATGTGATTTGATATGTATGCTATTTTGTTGTATTGACAAAAAGCTTCAAAACTTCATATGTCAAATTTACTGAAAGTGTTAACATCATATTTTTACACTTAAAAATGTCAAATTTCGGGGCCAAAAAAAGAGCATTGTGGAAAGTTATAATTCATTACATTATTTTGAAGAAAAGTGCTGCTGAATACTTCGGGAAGCTTATGGGGAACATGCTCCATCTCAGGATACTTGAGAACGCTGATTTAAACGCTTTAAAGGTGATGATTTTGATGTGAAAGACAACGTCCAGGTCAACCAAAAAAGTTTGAAGACCAACAATTAACAAGCATTATTGGATGAAGATGCATGTCAAACTTAAAAACAACTTGCAGAAAAATTAAACGTTGCTCAGCAAACAATTTCTAATTGTTTACAAGCAACGGGAAATATTTTAAAGGAAGGAAAATGGGTGCCATATCAACTGAATGAAATGGAAAACTGAAAAGTTATCAGTAAAATGTTGCTTCAGCAGCACAAAAGAAAGTCTTTTTTGCATGGAATTGTGACTGGCAATGAAAAGTGGATTTATTTTGAGACTCCAAATGCACATAATCATGGGTTGATCCAGGTCAACCATCAACATCAACTGCAAGGCCAAATCGCTTCAGAAAGAAGACAAGCTCTGTGTTTGGTGGGATCAGGAAGGTGTGGTGTATTATGAGCTTTTAAAACCAGGTAAAACCGTTCATACTGATCTGCTACAGACAACAAATAATCACTTTAAACCATGCTTTGATCATGAAACAACCAGAATGTTCAAGAAGTCACGGCAAAGTAATTTTGCTTCATGATGATGCACTATCACACACTTCAAAACCAGTTAAAGACACGTTAAAAGACCTTGCCTGGGGAAGTAGTAACCCACCCACCATTTTCACCAGACCTTGCTCCTTCAGATTACCACTTGTTCCAATCAATGGCACACGCACTTTCTGAGCAGCACTTCAAAAATGTACAAAGAAGTGGAAAATTTGGTCTCTGAATGGTTTGCTTCAAAACAAGAAAAGTTCTATTGGGAAGGTATCCACAAATTACCTGAAAGATGGGGAAATGTGTGGCTAGTGATGGACATTACTTTGAATAAAGCACTTGTGATGTTTCTCTTGATATTATTGTGTTTTCTTTGATTACAAAATCCGCTATTAGTAACTGGTACACCTAGTACACCTAATGCATTGTATAGAATTGATTTACTTTTTAAATACATTTTTGTTGATTTCAGAGAGGAAGGGAGAGATAGAAACATTAGTGATGAGAGGGAATCATTGATTGGCTGCATCCTGCATGCTGGATGGAGCCTGCAACCCAGGCATGTGCCCTTGACTGGATTCGAACCTGGGAACCTTCGGTCTGCAGGCCGAAGCTCTATCCACTGATCCAAGCGGGCGAGGGCTGTATAGTATTGTATAAGTTAAATCTTATATCTGAAAATTATAATAAACTCTACAAGGAAGTTAACAGAGGAAGAATTTAGGCTTCTAAGACTGGTGTTGATCATATATATATATCTTTCCACCTGACTGACTGACTGACTGACTGACTGACGGCTGGTACATATGTCGTGCATTGGCAATTTAAAAATAAATGTTGACTCGCACATGTGCGGTGCATATAAAGCTCTCGCTGGTGCTAATTGCATGCGTGTTTTAATTTTATAATACTATGTTATATATACTATTTTGACCTATAATTTTTGCAGTAACGTAATTACTGCATGAATCCTTCTTCTAATTAATTTCCTTTCAATGTGCACGTATCTGCACCGGGCTACTAGTGATAATCACTTAGCAGTTTACATGTTGGAAAGACCAACCAATTTAGAATGGTTGTGTTAGATTGGATCAATTTCTCACTTTATAAATTGTAAAGCATAGGCTTATGTTAGTTCCTCTATTGAATAGTAAATGTAAATTGAATCATTTCTTCCATTCTTTTCTTCTCGGAGATATGCATACAGGGGAAAAGCACAGGCTTTAAGAGCAAGAAGAACCTGGTTTGTTGTATAATTCCACCGTTTGTTTATAACTTTGTGATCTGACATAAGCCTCAGTTTCCCATTTCACTTTATTGCATTCTTGTGAGGATTAAATGAAATAATTTTCATAAAGCATAAAGGAGGAAATAAGAAAATTATGAATTCTCTTTCTCTTGCACACTATCTCATATTGTCTCTTGATGAAACCAAATAGAATCAGATAAGTAATAATATACAAGAGACAGCTCAACAGAAGTGAGTGCATATGTGTACAGAAGGTATGCACAAGAATGTTCATAGTAGTGTCAGTTGTAATAACTCTAAACTAGGCTCTCCTAACAATAGTAGAATAAACTAATAAATTGTAAATTGCAGTCTCATATAACAACAAAAATGAACACAGTTCTGATATACACACTTCAGGAAAACTATGGCCTGCCAGCTGCCTGCTTTTGTAAATAAAATTTTATTGGAATATAGCCACACCCATTTGTTTATGTATTGTCCATGGCTGCTTTTTCATTATTACAGCAAATTTGAGTAGTTTCAACAGAGGTGCTATGGCCACAAGCATAAAATATTTTTTGTCTGGCCCTTCACAGGAAAGTTTGCTGATCCCTGCACAGAGGGACCTCACACATATAAAATGGAGCGAAAGCGATCAGTGGTTGCCTGGGGAAGGGATGGGGCAGTGGGAATGACTGCAGAGGGTGTGGGTTTCTTTGTGTGGGGTGATGAAAACATTCTAGAATTAAATAGTGGTGATGGTTGTCAGCCTTGTTGAATATACTAAAACCACTGAATTGTACACTTGAAAATGGTGAATTTTATGGTATGTGAATTACATCACAATAAAAAAGCAATCTAGACATTTTATAAACAGAATCTTGGATAAATAGACAAAAATTTTTTTTTTTTTACTATATTAACATTTTAATGCCATAAAATACTATGTAAATCTCTTAAAATTCTGACATTCCATAGTCAGTATTAGACATCCTAGTCTTATAATGTTTTATTTCTGCCTTAAGATTTAAGTTTCTTAAATGTATTTTGCCTGAATTAAGTATTAATTTGATGAAAAGTTCTTTTAAAATCATCACTTAGTGGGTTCTAATAAATTAAAAATTAAACTTGAAAAAAAATTGAGTGAAAGAAAACAGGTAATCTAAGGTGCTAGAAGTCAGCAAAGTGGTCACCTTTACAGAGGTATATAGATGGGAGGGCACAGGAGAAGGTGCTGGGGTGCTGGTGATGCTATAATGCTTGGTGTGGCAAATGTGAGTTCATTTTATAAAAATCAGTAATTCTCCATTTATTGTACATTTTTCTGTTTACAATAAGGCCCAAAGACTGCTATTTTACTTTACACTTACTGCCTATCACAGATTAACTACTGTTTTGTTAATAGACCATCTAAAATTAAATTGTGACTCTTTTTTAGTAAATGGTTTAGACACTCAAAAGCATATCTTAGTTAAATTAAAATTATAACATATTTAATATCCTTGCTCTACCAGAAAAATCGAAACAGTGGTTTTCAAGTTATGTTCTGTGAAAGATTCTGAGGGAGTATTTGATAAACTCACAGGAGGTCGAGTCCCCTCTTGCTTACTTTAATCAGAGAATCTCTTCCTTTATATTTGTATACTGTGGTTGAATTTCATGCTTAAAAAGTATTTGAGATCCAATGATCTTGATGATGTAGAAAGATATCTTTGAAGTTTTTTCCCCAAGACTAGAGCTAATTTAGTAAGCATAGGAAGAGTGGGTTAAAAGTAAGATGAAATTGAAATTCTGTGTTACCCCTTACCATCATCATTTAATTCTTTGATTTACCTCAATAAGATAACCTCCTAGCTCTATACCTTCAGATCAGTGAAAAAAATGGGCTTTTAAAAAAATCTTCTGGCCCTGGCTGCGTGGCTTAGTTAGTTGGAGCATTGTCCTGTACACCAAAGGCTGTGGGTCCAATTCCTGGTCAGGGCACATACCTAGGTTGCAGTTTCGGTCCCTGGTTGGGTGCATGCAGGAGGCAACTAATTGATGTTTCTCTCCCCCTCTCCCTTCACCTCTAAAAAAAAAAAAAGTGAATAAACATTTCCTTGGGTGAGGATTAAAACTTTTTTTTTTTCTGATCTCTCTTCAAGTTGGCTTAGCTTTTCTCCTGCCTTTCTCACCAGGTATACGTGACCGCCGAGAGCCGCTTCAGCACCTTGGCAGAGCTTGTCCACCATCACTCCACAGTGGCTGATGGGCTGGTGACCACATTGCACTACCCCGCACCCAAGTGTAACAAGCCTACAGTTTACGGTGTGTCCCCCATCCATGACAAATGGGAAATGGAACGGACAGATATTACCATGAAGCACAAGCTTGGGGGTGGTCAGTATGGAGAGGTTTACGTTGGCGTCTGGAAGAAATACAGCCTGACGGTTGCTGTGAAAACATTGAAGGTGGGTTGCTGAGAATGACAGTGCTCAGGCATCTTTTTCTTTTGTGCTCACTTACTTGGAAATACCAGCATGCCCATCTTTAACTTTGGAATGCTTTCCACCCACTGGTGTCACACGGATCAGCAAATGGTAATGATCAACCCTAGTGCCTTGCTGACAGTACAGAGGAAGATTATTCATTGCAGTGCAGTGAAACCCACATGTGGGGAATGTTTATCTTTGGAGGCTATTGATGGAGATCTTAGTGGGCGGTTAGAAGCAAATTACTAGTTATAAAGCAAAAGAGCTTGTTTTGCTTCCTCAGCACGACCCCTGCTGGACAGAATTCTTCATGCATTGTTTGAGGATCATGGGTACTCTTTCTGGCTTGCTCTTACTGCCCCCTTACCCTCCCCCCCTCTCTATCTCTCTCCACCTCTCTCCCAAGAGAATAGACTCCTACTTCTTGTTCTTAATATTCATAGAATTCTTTTTCCCTGCCACCATCTCTCCTTTTTAAGCATCCTATCAGATTTCAGGGTTTTCACTCCTCCCATTCTCTGAAGATTCTCCTGTATGCCTCAGTGACTCTGCCACATTACTCATAAGGGCTGCTCTTCAGCTATGAGTTGTAGTCAGTTCTTTTCAGCAAGCATTTATTAGGCATATTTTTTTAGTATGAATATTTAAGGCCTTGCAAGCATGCATTGCTCCTTAAAGAATTTGTCAGGAAAACAAACATGTAAACAGCTAACTGTTCTGTCTCCTCTTTCAAAGCTGAGATGTCTTGGGACATAAACTGTCAGAGAACTGAGTTATCCAGGCTTCCCATGTGTGTTTCAGCTGTGATAGGATGTGATTGCTGAATTTTGCTCATCCTGCTAATTTTTACTCATTTCAGATATTGGATAGATTTAATTTATTTCTTAACACCTTAAATGCCCAGACTGTTTTGTCTTCCGGATGGAAAGTACAGTATCAGTCACTGGTGACTGGGCGCTGTAGAGCATATTAGATTATGATAAGATTCTCCATGTATATGTTAAAATATTCAAAAGATGCCATTTTTTAAAATATATTTTATTGATATTTTTTTTTATAGAGAGGAAGAGAGAGGGGATAGAGAGTTAGAAACATCGATGAGAGAGAATCATCAATCAGCTGCCTCCTTCACACCCCACACAGGGGACGTGCCCGCAACCAAGGTACATACCCTTGACTGGAATAGACTTTTCAGTCCGCAGGCTGACACTCTATCTACTGAGCCAAACCGGTTTTTGGGAAAAGATGCCATTTTTTAAAGCTGAAGTTTTTCACCTTGGCCAGTTCTTAGCGGTTAGAGCACATGTGTCAAACACAAGGCCCGCGGGCCAAATCCGTCCTACCAGGCCTTGCAATGTGGCCCGCACCGCGCTGTCATCACTTCACTCCGCTGCGTTTCCATCACAATGACAGTTTATGACTGTTCAGTAAACCATTCGGCCTGCGATTTAGGCTGGATTTTAGATTTTGGCCCCTTCTCTGATTGAGTTCGACACCCCTAGGTTAGAGTATCAGTATGCGCATGAAGGCTCATGGGTTTGATTCCCAGTCAAGGGCATGTACTTGGGTTGAGGGTTTGATCCGAGGCCCCGGTTGTGTGCATGTAGGAGGCAACTAATTTATGTGTTTCTCTCACATCAGTGTTTCTCTCTCCCACTCCTCCCTCCTTTTCCCTCCCTTCCACCCTCTAAAAGTCAATTGAAAAAATATCCTCAGTAAAGATTAACAACAAATCACCCAAATAAAAGCTGAAGTTTTAGGATTGTGTGTCGACTCAAATAGTTAAGATGGGAGTTCACTCTGAAATGAAAAAAAACCACAAACACATTTTTTTATAAAAAGATAGGGGTTCATTCATCTTTCTTTTTATTGTTCCCCCTTTTCCAGGAAGATACCATGGAGGTGGAGGAGTTCCTGAAAGAAGCTGCAGTGATGAAGGAAATCAAGCATCCTAATCTGGTACAGCTATTAGGTGAGGAAGCTTGCCTACACCAAAGGTTTCCTCAAAGCTGCTTCTCCCCCAACATCGCATTATCTCCAAATCCTCCCTAAATCATCATGGTGGAAGCTCCAAGTGTGAATCTACTTCAATAAATGGTTGTTATTTATTTATTTTTAAAATATATTTTATTGATTTTTTACAGAGAGGAAGGGAGAGGGATAGAGAGTTAGAAACATCGATGAGAGAGAATCCTCGATCAGCTGCCTCTTGCACACCCCCCACTGGGGATGTGCCCTCAACCAAGGTACATGCCCTTGACCGGAATAGAACCTGGGACCTTTCAGTCCAAAGGCTGATGCTCTATCCACTGAGCCAAACCGGTTTCGGCCAATAAATGGTTGTTATTTTAATCAGCAGGCTCTGTGTTTAAAAGTTGCCTAAGAAACAGTGGCCTGGATTGATTGCAATGTGTAAAACTACCCAGTTTGTGGTGATTGCCCCAGATTCAAAGTTCTAGAATCATTTAAAATTGTTCTAAATAAAAAACTACCTTAAGCTCTGGCCATTTTTTTCTCAATGGTTAGAGCAGTGGTTCTCAACCTTTCTAATGCTGCAACCCATTAATACAGTTCCTCATGCTGTGGTGACCCCCCACCTGTGGGTTGAGAACCACTAGCAAGATTGCCTAAGAGCATCAGAAAACACATATTTACATTACGATTCATAACAGTAGCAAAATTACAGTTATGAATTTTTATTTCATAAAATATAGCAATGAAAATAATTTTATGGTTAGGGGTCACCACAACATGAGAAACTGTATTAAAGGGACACGGCGTTAAAAAGGAAACTACTGGGTTAGAGCATTGGCCCTTGGACTGAAGGGTTGAGGGTTTGATTCCAATCAAGAGCATGTACTTGGTTTATAGGCTCGATTCCCGCCCCAATTTTGGACATGTGTGGGAGGCAACCAATTGATGTGTTTCTCTCACTTCATTGTTTTTCTCTCTCTGTTTCTCCCCCTCCATTCCACTCTCTTTAAAAATCAATGGAAAAAAAATACCCTTGGGTGAAGATTAACAAAAATAAAAATAATCATAAAATAATTTTACAAAATGGACACTAAACAAAGTACTATTGAAAAGAAACAGATTAAAAATTGTGGTCACACTCATCAGTTTACCTTGATGATCTGAAAATGCTATGCTCTGGTAGATTTATTTCTCATCTGTTCAGGTCACAAAGAAGTCTGTGTCTGAACCCCTTTTCTTTTCAAAACAGGACCATGTTCTTTGGGTGTTCAAATTGAGCCCAACTATCCCAGAGGAAATAGTTTCTTGTTGGTTCTTTATACAGAATCTGCCATGTATTTGACTATGGAAACAATTATTATTATTTTTTTTTACAAAGCATTATTACAGGCTGGGCTAATACAGTCTTCAACATATGCACAGTTGTGGTTATTTTAGATAAGCTTCATTAGCACCCAGTGGAGAATGGGAATCATGGGCCTATATAGAACTCTAGAAATTTTGGTCTTGTGACCCCTTATGGAATTAATACAAGTAACTCTGCTTTTGCCCTCAGCAAATACTCAAGTGCATATGAATTTCCAGAATTATTAAGTTGTAATGGAAGTAGATCCTTATCAAGCATCCTCTTAACTTGGCTATATTATTATCAGAGAATGTGATAGCAAGAAGAAAAAAGATTACTGCCAAACAAGATTTTTAAAAATTATTGATGAATTTTGTCAAAGTTGTTGGGAATGTTTGAGTATATACTAACAAAACAAGCTGTATTCTTGAATTCTCAGGTGTGTGTACTTTGGAGCCACCATTTTACATTGTGACGGAATACATGCCGTATGGGAACCTCCTTGATTACCTCCGAGAATGTAACCGAGAAGAGGTGACTGCAGTTGTACTGCTTTACATGGCCACGCAGATCTCTTCTGCAATGGAGTATTTGGAGAAGAAGAATTTCATCCATAGGTGTGTATATCCTGACTGTTGTCTGTGATAACCAAGAAGCTACCTTGCTTGTCCTGTAAATAAAGGGAAGAAGGCAAGAACCTCTCTAGAAATTTCCAAATGACTGAGGAAAGGGATTTTCCCATTCAAGGGCCTATTATGATGTCATTCCCAACTTATAAACCTGTGTGCTCTGATAATGTTAATGAGGGACCTTTGCTTTTCTCAAAACGAGTCTTTATTTTGCCCAGGACTATATTCAATAGCCTTTTGCTCCATCTAGTAGCTTATTTAAAAAATAGCTTTCTGTCTTAGTAAAGAACTTCAACACTTGTAGGAAAGTATCTGTTGCTCACCTCTAAAACCTATGCCAATATGCAGTTGACTCTGGAACCACATGAGTTTGAACTGTGAGAGTCCATTTATATACTGATGTTTTTCAATAACTACATATAGTACTGTAAATGTGTTTTTTTCCTTTTGATTTTCTTTTTTTTTTTAGCTTACTTTATTGTAAGAATACAGTTTATAATACATATATAGCTAACAGTAATTAGCTGCTTTAGTAGCTAAGTTTTTGGTGAGTCAAAAGTATACATAGATTTTTGGCTATGATGTGTGTGTGGGGGGGAAGGTAGGAGGGGGGCTAAGGTGGTTACCTCTCATCCCTGCATTAAGTGTCAACTGTACTTATGAATAGGAACCCATTTTCTGAAGCCTGCTTTATTCCAGCATCATGTAACTGCCTCTTGATAAGTACTCTACAAGTGATACATAATTAGTGATTTTCTACCATGTTAGTTATACCATAAAAACCTGCCATATCGGTTAAGCACTTGTCTACTCTGCTTGAGGCACAAAGAACTGAGAATAGAGCATTCACGGTCACTTTCCACCTCGTCTGAATAGAATCACATTAGGGTTGGTTCTCTTTCCTGCAGAGATCTTGCAGCCCGGAACTGCCTAGTGGGAGAAAACCATGTGGTAAAAGTGGCTGACTTCGGCTTAAGTAGATTGATGACTGGAGATACCTACACTGCTCATGCTGGAGCCAAGTTTCCTATTAAATGGACAGCACCAGAGAGTCTTGCCTACAATACCTTCTCAATTAAATCTGATGTCTGGGGTAAGGTTGGAAGGGGCTTTTTCTGGATGTTATTTTGTGTATAAATGCTCTTAATTCTATAGAGCTTATCTTTCACATGATCACTATCCTCTACCTTTACCCCCACCTCTTCAGTCATTCAGCAAGCTTTTATCAAATACCTGTTATCAGGCATTGTGCTAGGTCTTAGCATAGAAAGAAGTGTAAAGAAGAAAATAAGTCCTGCTTCAAAGAGCTCACAGTCTAGAATCTCTCCTTGCCCTGGAGTTCTGAGGATCCTTTAAAGCTCCCTGTTTTCCACATTAGGTTTTAGTGCTCGTTTCCAGGGCGCTGGGGGACATAGAATGGCACCCTCTTCAAGAAATACATGCTGAAGTTTTAGCTAGGTTTATCCTGGTAACTGGTAACTACTGCCATGAATTAGTACAAGCCCAGTGGACTGAACCTGTCTGGAAATTTGGATTGTGGGCAAATAGAAATAATTGCAGGATTCTAAGTCACTCTTTACCAGAAATCTCAAACTCAGAAATAACCTGTGACAAAATCAAGCAAATTCTTTTTTCCACTGTGAATTTTATATGATTTCAAATGAGTTCATTTTTATATTTACTCCTCTAATATTAGCTAACATAAAAACTGTAAACTCATTAATTAGATCATATAATAGATTATTCTAAAAATAGTTTGATTATGCTCCAGACTACTTATATGGTCATAGTTTAATTTCCCTTTATTATAGTAAAGGATGTCTAAATTAAAGGTGGGAAATATAGAGGAAGCCATCTTTATATTTCAGGTTATAGCTCAAATGTTCCCATGATAGTTATCTTAGGAGGAATACTTTTGGTAATTGAATATTATCCAGAATTTGAAAGATAATCTTGTGGTATAAAATAATCAGAGAAGAAACATTAAGCTCCCTTTTTTTTGTCCCTTATGCAGCTTTTGGGGTACTGTTGTGGGAAATTGCTACCTATGGAATGTCACCATATCCTGGTATTGACCTGTCTCAGGTCTATGATCTACTAGAAAAGGGATATCGAATGGAACAGCCTGAAGGATGCCCCCCTAAGGTTTATGAACTTATGAGAGCATGTGAGTATTTTTGCATATATTAATTTTGAGGTCTGAGTCAGCAATTTGGGATGATTAGCAAAATTAGGAACATTTTTCCTCTTAATGTTGTTAGATTGAATCTAACCACATGGCATATAAAGAGTTGGTCATTGATTAGCCAGTTGGCATGTCATATGCTATACCATTGAGTCTTACTGAATCCTAAGAGTCATTGTCCATGGCTGAAATGTTGAGTCAGTTTCCCAGAAACACTTGCACATTTAATCTATATTATGAAAGGCCAGTGGCTACAATGCCATAACAACCAAATGACTGATGACCAGGAGGTGCATGGGTAACCTCTCAGATGCTCCCCCTACCCTCACCCCCAGAGTGGTGGCAGCATCAGCGGAGCGTCCGCGGAGCGTGCGAGGCTTCGCAGGGCAGCAGACATGGCCCTGATGGCAGGCTAGGCCTAGGGGACCCTACACACACATGATTTTAATTGTGCTCTGGGCCTCTAGTGGGATACTAAGAGCCCTGGCCTGTATAGTCAGTTGGTTAGATCATTGTCCTGTACACCAGAGGTGGCAGGTTCGATTCCCAGTCAGCACATACCCAGGTTGTGGGTTCGATTCCCATTCATGTGGGAGCCAGCCAGTTGATGTTTCTCTCCACCCCTCCCACACCCCCCCCTGCACACACACACACACACACACACACACACACACACACACACACTTCTCTCTTCCTATCTCTAAAAGTCAAGATATTTTAAAAAATAGAATAATAATAAATTGGGTTTGAAGTTTAGGTAGGAAAAATGATTGAAAATTACTAGATGAAAATGATTGCTAAAAACTGGGAGAATATATGCACGTAACCTCAGTGATGAATAAACAAAGCATCTGACTCCTTGAAGATGGGAAGGCGGTAGTAAAGTACAGTTGTGTGTGAGCATAAATCTTATTTTCTCATTGAACATTGGCATTGCTTGCTGCCCTGTCTTTGTCAAATATGAACTGCAAGCTCCTTTTTGATAGTCCAAAATATTTCTGAATATGTACAACTCATGATTTCTAAGGTTAGAGGGAAGTTGAAGACAGGCTTAACTTTTATTTTTCCAGTGAAAGAAAACTTGCCATCCCTCCTCACCCCATGTAGAGGGATAGGATTCTCTTCTCCGTGCGCTTTTGTCCTGGATGTCACAGTGGTAATAGCCATGAAGGGACTTGCTCTAGGAAGTGGGTTCATTACCCTCTGAGCGGCCTCACTGTCATTGTGCACCTGCTGCAGCTCTGCTCTGAGGGGCACACGGCCTGATGCACGGGACTCACTCAGGCGCCACTGGGTGTCTGTTCCTGCAGGGGCTTCAGCTTTTCCTCCTCTTGTTACGTAGGCTGGAAGTGGAGCCCTGCTGACAGGCCCTCTTTTGCTGAAACACATCAAGCTTTTGAAACCATGTTCCATGACTCCAGCATTTCCGAAGGTAAGAATCTGGTAGTTTATTGGTGGCTAGTTCTGGATAGTGATAATATTTCAAAAATGATGGCCGTTTGTAGCTTGGGACTCCATTTCAGGATATTGAATTAATTCTTGGCTTCATTCTTCTCGTTTTGCTTTTTTATTTTTTGCCTTTTTTAGTTTCTTGTGTTTCTATCATTTTTAATATTGAAAATATACTTTAATTGCAAATTAATACAGTTTCTTCATAAAGAAAGTAAAGTCAGTAGTTTTTTAAGCATTAACACTTATGTAGGGAAGAGAAAGGGGAAAAAATGAGTCTGAAAAATATTGCAACTCCTTGAATCATACCAGCAAAAGCAGAACCAAGTCATAAGAGCAATATCCAGAAATTTTATTTCTAAAACTAGATCCCAAGGAAATAATTATGGGTGTGAACACAGATTTAGCTACAAGAATATTCCATCAGAATATAGTTCATAGCCGAAACCGGTTTGGCTCAGCGGTAGAGCGTCGGTCTGCGGACTGAAGGGTCCTGGGTTCGGTTCCGGTCAAGGGCAGGTACATTGGTTGCGGGCACATCCCCGGTGGGGGGTGTGCAAAAGGCAGCTGGTCGATGTTTCTCTCTCATCGACGTTTCTAGCTCTCTAGCTCTCTCCCTCTCTGTAAAAATCAATAAAATATATTTTAAATAAATAAATAAAAGAATATAGTTTATAATACTGAAAAATTAAGAACAATTTAAATATCTAGTGGGCTGTTAAGTATCATATCATATAATTAAATATTTAAAATGATATTTTTGAATTGACATGGAGGGGAGTTTAGAATGAGCATATACTAAGTTATGCTGTGAACAGTGAGAACCCTTATCTAAAAACAACAGTCTGGACACATATATAGACAGTTTTCTACTTTTGTATATAATGCTTCTAAAATTGTCAGCAAAAGTCAAACAGTAAACTTGTTATAAAGAGAAACTTTTCCTAAAGAGCTAAAACCACAACATTCTTAGTTAGATTTCCCTATTAGACACTTTGATATAGTTCCAGAATATTATACTTATTTCTCAAATTTTTTATTTCCTTCATAATTGAACATAGGACTTACTGCTTAAGTTCAAGTTTTAAAAAATTAGAAGAAATCAGGCAAGTTGATTTTTGTCTACTTTCCTCAGTGGTTTATTATATCTAGGTGAGAAGAAAGAGAAAAGTATAACATCAAATGCAGTAGTGTTTACATTCTAGTTCTTTGATGTATGGAATGTCTACAGGTTCGGGGCCACAGCTGGCCTGTGGGCAGCTGCCTATCACGAACTCTTCTCCTTGTTGTCACAGTGATAAAAGCCATGAATATCGGCCAAAGAGTAGGGTCCATTTCTTTGGTACTTTAAAAATATATTTTATTGACTTTTCACAAAAGAGGAAGGGAGAGGGAGAGAGAGTCAGAAACATTGATGAGAGAGAAGCATCAATCAGCCGCTTCCAGCACACCTCCCACTGGGGATGCACCTGCAACCAAGGTACATGCCCCCGACCAGAGTCGAACTCAGGACCCCTGAGTCCACAGGTCCAACACTCTATCCACTGAGCCAAACCAGACAGGGCTCTTTGGTACTTTCGTGTCAACTTTTAACCTCTGTTGAATCCTGAGTTAAATATTTCTGCTTCTCTTGAAAATGTTATATCCTTTTAAAAAATTGGCCCTTACCAATTTTTAAGGCTAATTTCAATTCACTACTGCTAAATAAGAAACTTAACATTATTCAACCCATAATTTGTTAAGCATTTAATCTGTGGCAAGGACTATACTAGATCTGAGGACACAGAGATAAGACACAGCTCCTACCTTTAAAGGATGTACTTATTAGTTGTAAGTAAAGGAACCCTAACTCAAACTTTAATAAGAGAAGGATTTATTGGCTTATAACCAGACCATGGGGAAACGGGGATGGTGCTCATCTCAGAGTCATTTGAAGCCATGGACTCAAGTAGCTTCAGGTCTTCCTCCTTACCCTTCCTCTTTCCCAAAGCCGCTCCCACCCAACATCTCTTTATTTTATTTTTTATTTTATTGATTATTTACAGAGAGGAAGGGAGAGGGATAGAGAGTTAGAAACGTCGATGAGATAGAATCATCAACCAGCTGCCTCCTGCACACCCCCTACTGGGGATGTGCTCACAACCAATATACATGCCCTTGACCGGAATGGAACCTGGGACTTTTCAGTCCACAGACCAACACTCAATCCACTGAGCCAAACCGGTTTTGGCAACATCTCTTAGCTTTTGCTTCTATGTTGATCTCTTCCTCAAAATCCTCCAATTGGCTTTGGACACAGTTGTCAGCATCCTTGAGGTAATGTCTGTCTCCTAGCTATTTTTATAGCAGTAAGAACGAAATCTCATTATATTGCCTTGTGTTATGTGCCACTTATTCACTCTTGTGAATAATTTTTAAAGATAATTATCAGCCCGGCCAGTGTGGTTCAGCAGCTGAGCATTGACCCAGGAAACTAGAAGTCACTGGTTTGATTTCTGGTCAGAGCACGTGGGTTCAGTGCCCAATAGGAGGCAGCTGATTAGTGTGATATTTCTCTCTCATTGATGTTTCTCTCTCTCTATCCCTCCTCGTCCTCTCTCTCTAAAACTCAATAAAAACAGCCCTAGCTGGTTTGGCTCAGTGGATAGAGTGTCAGCCTGCAGACTAAAGGGTCCCAGTTTCAATTCTGGTCAAGGGCACGTGCCTAGATTGCAGGCTCGATTCCCAACAGGGGACATACAGAAGGCATCATTAATGTTTCTTTCTCTCTCTCTTCCTTTACCTCTCTGAAATCAATAAAAATATATTAGGAAAATAAAATAAAACTCAATAAAAACATTTAAAAATAATTATCAAAAGATGTAAAATAATTACAAAATTTCATAATTTAATTGATCCTATGGGCTTCATTTTTGTTTAGAAATGAATAGCAAATTATGTGTTTGCTTCAGCAAAAGCCACAGAAGCCATGGCCAGATTTAGTCAGCAAAGCTTATTTACTAATGGCTCAACCTTTTTGCAAGAGCCTCATTTGCATGAAAGGGACTGTACCTTCCCTCCTTTTTAGTACAAGGTGCAACTGAAAAGTAAAGATATCTGTAGACATTTGTCTGCTTTGTTCAATTTCTGAATAGGGACATAGAAAGCAAGGAAAGCTAAATGACCAGTAAGCATATGAAGCCATGCTCAATATCATTCCTCATCAGAGAAGTAGAAAAGAAAACAATGAAATCCCTCCACATACCTACCCCAGAATGGCTAAAAGTAAAACCAAACAAGAAACCTCATAACATCAAATGGACGGCTATTCGGAGTAATTAGAATTTTATACGTTGTTAGTCTGAGTGTAGATTGATTGGTACAGGCATTTGGAGAGATAGTTTGGCAGGAAAAAGCTGAATTTATATGCACCTCATGATCACGCATCATTCTTATGCAATTGTGAAGCAAAAGATGTATCAGAATGGTTCCTAGCAATATATTCATAATAGCCAAACACTGGAAACAAATAGGTGAATTTTGGTATATTCATTCTCATATTTGAACGATACACAGGAATGAGGAAAAACCGGCCACATGCAGCAATATGGATGAAGCCACAGATGTAATGTTGAGCAAAAGAAGCCAAAAATAGAGTGCATCTCGGGGGTCCATTTAGATCTTAGTACTCTCCAGTTCTTTGCAGTTGTACGCCTTTTCTGAAAAGAACTGTGCTCTGCCATGAAGTTTTTTTTATCAGTCCCCTTTTCTTCCTCACAGAGGTAGCTGAGGAGCTTGGGAGGGCCGCCGCCGCCTCATCTGTTGTCCCCTACCTGCCCCGATTACCTATACTTCCCTCCAAGACGCGGACGCTGAAGAAGCAGGTGGAGAACAAGGAGAATATCGAAGGGTCCTTAGAAGCCACCGACAATTCTGCTTCCAGTTCAGCACCAGGTATGGGTCCCAGGGCAGGCAGAGTCAGGCTGCCTTGTTTAAAGAACCATAGGTTACGGTGCTTCTATTCGCACTTCCTTGCCCGTCTTCCCTGAGGAAAGCATGGCTGGCACCCATTTTACCTGCCACTCTAGTCCTCAGCTCTGCACCACAGTGTATGGAGTCCTCATCTATCCATCCCCTGAGCTCCAGATTCCCAGATGCTTAGCTTCTTTGCAGTTCTGGCAAACATTCTTCAGTGAACCTTAGTGAGGGCAGTTTGTATGGTAGCTTTTGGTAAACACCAGCAGGGTTTTTCTTTCCATTACATCCCATGACACATGTGGAATACTGATTAATGTGAAGGGATAATGTTCGTATTAGTTTCCTCTGAGTCCACTATCGCCTGGCATTTAATAGATGCTGACAAACTCTTACAGTTCAGCCTTAGTTACTCAGTGTAGCAGGGTGCCTCCTTGTCCTTCACGTTACTGACTGGCCGTTTCTCATCAGGGTTCATTAGAAGTGCACAGGTCCCCAGTGGGTCCCCAGCACTGCCTCGAAAACAAAGAGACAAGTCACCCAGCAGCCTTTTGGAAGATGCTAAGGAGACGTGCTTCACCAGGGACAGGAAGGGAGGCTTCTTCAGCTCCTTCATGAAAAAGAGAAACGCTCCCACACCCCCCAAACGCAGCAGCTCCTTCCGAGAAATGGAGAACCAGCCCCACAAGAAATATGAACTCACGGGTAACTTCTCATCTGTTGCTTCTCTACAGCATGCTGATGGGTTCTCTTTCACTCCCGCCCAGCAAGAGGCGAATCTCGTGCCCCCCAAGTGCTATGGGGGGAGCTTTGCACAGAGGAACCTCTGTAATGACGACGGTGGCGGGGGAGGGTGGTCTGGCATCACAGGCTTCTTTACACCACGCTTAATCAAAAAGACACTGGGCTTACGAGCAGGTAAGCCCACAGCCAATGATGACACTTCCAAGCCTTTTCCAAGGTCAAACTCTACATCTTCCATGTCCTCAGGGCTTCCAGAGCAGGATAGGATGGCAATGACCCTTCCCAGGAACTGCCAGAGGTCCAAAATCCAGCTGGAAAGGACAGTGTCCACCTCTTCTCAGCCAGAAGAGACTGTGGACATTGCCAGTGACACGCTTCCCAAAAAGTCAGAGGAAGGTGCTGCTCCAACTAAAGAGAGACCAAAAGCCAAACTTTTGCCCAGAGGAACCACAGCTCTTCCCCTAAGAACCCCTTCTGGGGACCCAGCCCTTACAGAGAAGGACTGTCCAGGGGCGGGGGCAGCTGGAGGAGCAGCTGCCCCAAAGAGCAAGGAGAGGAATGGTGGGGCGCGCCTTGGCATGGCCGGAGTCCCGGAGGATGGCGAGCAGACAGGCTGGGCTTCTCCAGCCAAGGTTGCGGCCATCCTCCCCACCACTCACAACCACAAAGTGCCCGTCCTCATCTCCCCCACTCTGAAGCACACTCCAGCCGACGTGCAGCTCATCGGCACGGACTCTCAGGGGAACAAATTCAAGCTCCTATCTGAGCATCAGGTCACGTCCTCTGGAGACAAAGACCGGCCCCGACGGGTAAAACCAAAGTGTGCCCCACCCCCACCGCCAGTGATGAGGCTTCTGCAGCATCCGGCTGTGTGCTCAGACCCCACGGAAGAGCCGGTGGCCCCGGCGGCCGGACAGCCCGCATCAGAGACACAGGAAGGAGGGAAGAAGGCAGCTCCGGGGCCAGTGCCCGTCAGTGGGAAAGCTGGGAGGCCTGTGGTGCCTCCACCTCAAGTGCCTCTGCCCACATCTTCCGTCTCGCCGGCCAAAATGGCCAACGGCACAGCAGGTACTAAAGTGGCTCTGAGAAAAACCAAACAGGCAGCTGAGAAAATCTCCGCAGACAAGATCAGCAAGGAGGCCCTGCTGGAATGTGCTGACCTGCTGTCCAGTGCAATCTCGGAACCGGTGCCCAACAGCCAGCTGGTGGACACGGGGCACCAGCTGCTTGACTACTGCTCAGGCTACGTGGACTGCATCCCTCAGACTCGCAACAAGTTTGCCTTCCGAGAGGCCGTGAGCAAACTGGAACTCAGCCTGCAGGAGCTGCAGGTGTCTTCAGCCACTGCGGGCGTGCCCGGGGCAAATCCTGTCCTTAATAACTTGCTGTCGTGTGTACAGGAAATCAGCGATGTGGTGCAGAGGTAGCCACTGGTAGACTACTGGAAGAGGCACATGTTTCTGAGGGGACAGGGGAAGGGACTTGTTTTCCTGTGTTCTTGTTTTCAAAAAATGAAAGACTGATACTTGAGTGTGTTTATGTGAAGTACCTCAGCTCTCTGAGATCTCACGTTTACAGGTTCATCTCAAAAATAACAAAACGCAAAACTCATAGGAGAGGGAAATTGGAGGGACCGGGCAGTGGTGGACAGGATTGGAAGCTGCACTGGAATATCAGGGAATGTGTGTACGTGGCTGTGAAGAACCAGATCCAGCCATTCTGATCTGGAGTGTTGCGAGGTGGTTAGACAGGGCTGCCCGTGGCAGTGCCGTGAGACCACCCAGACGGGCCTGGCTGCAGCACTCACTGTCCCGCGCAGAGGAGACTGGCTGAGGGCTCCAGTAGGTACTGATGATGATGTCCCGCCTCACTAGGGAAGTCAATGGAACCGAAGAAAAGAGAGCTGGGAAGGTGCTAAGTGAAGTTTCATCCAAGGCTGCTGGAAGCAGCTATTAGCCTTGCTTCCCCAAGGTCATTGCTGCAGTAAGAACTGCAAATGAAATTGCTGGAATTACAAAACCAGAAAGGTGGCCCTATCTGTTGCTCCTCTCCAGTTTCCCATTGATGTGTTAATTGGAGCCAGAAGTAAAGAAATCTAGGAAGTACAGTCAGGGAGCTTGAAAGCTCCTAAAATCTCACGTTGATCAGCACAAGTCACTTGTCCCAGGCTAGTATGTTGTATCCTAATGGACCAGGATTATAGGGGTCTCTACTGGTTCCTCTCTGCCTCCTGCTGGGCAGGCCGTCTTCCTTTATTCCTGCAACATTCAGGCATTAGCCAACACTGATTTTGAAATTAGTGGTCATGGACAGGTTCTCACAGGGAATCCTTTTCCGATACAGTGCCCTGCATACTGACATACTAGTCAAAGACTTGGGAAGCTGTGTATTTAGTTACCAACTAAAATATCCAAGAAAGGGGCTCTCCTTGGAACCCAGCAGCCAGGCCCAGAGGCCTATGACTGAGGAGAAGCTGGTTTGGTCCTAGTGGCTGTTTCTCTGTACCTTTCCCTCCTTCACCTTAGACCCGGTCTGGGTAGAAAGTAGAGAGAAGCACACACCCCCTCTGGATTTCAGATGAATCACCCTAAATTATTCTCACATGCCCACTCTCCCCCCCCCCCCCATTGTTGTGCTTGTTTGTAAAGATCACATTGGGAATATTCTTTGATATTTATTTCAATAACATTTTAAGAGAGTATAATTGAAGAAGCACATCATTTCTAGGAAAAACCAATTAGATCCTGGAAATCTAATGACTTAACCCTCAAATATATTTTGCCTTTGAAAAAACAGGCCTTTTCCTTCCCTACTCATTCATAACTATGGAAGCTAATTAGGATTGCAGGGAGCTGAACAGTAGATATTATAAATATTCCCAATATCAGGTCTAACCCCAGTTACCACTTCATTCTGTTTTTAAAGCTTTGTAACTCCCTCCCCCAAGGAGAACCCAATACAAAAAAAAATAAATTATTTTTTTCCTTCCAAAGGAATATTAACTTAGGAAGATAGGAATTCAGCATCGGTGAGCAGTGAATTTTCTTCCTGCTTCTGTCATCGATCCACTGTCAAGCCACAGCCCCATCTCTAAGTCTGTTAAATGAAGGTAATGATACATGTTCTCATGGGTGTTTCACAAATAAGGGTGTAGTTCTCCCTCTCAGAGCCTCCCTGCCATGCTATTTAGTGCAGTGGTGGTATGTTGAGTGGTTTTCAGTCTCTCCTATGCTCAGTAGCCAATCATGAAATTTAGAGCTGTTGAGATTACATTAATAGCGCTAGAATACTAATAGGGAAAAACTATGTTTTGGACAGAATTTGATATCTTTGACCAAGGACTACATTTAGTTTTCATCAGAAAGAAGGGAAACCTTGGTTCTTATCATGGCTGCCGAAAGGAGGCCCCGGCCAAGGAAGGACTGGAAGGCAGGGGACAGCCTGGGCATTCCTCGCTGGGGGTGGTCTCGGTCTGGTTCCTGAGGAGGCAGCATAGGCAGCTAGCGGTGTGCTCCGTCTCCTTGCAGCGGCTGGAAGAGAACCTAGCGTTCCTTTCAATGTGGGTTTAAAAACCAGCAGTCCAGCTCCTATCTCCTTCCTAGCCACTTCCCTTCATTACACACTTCCATAAACTTGAAATTGTTTTAGCAAGTAGCCTTTTAAGGGTGGGGCAGGGAAAGCTAAAACTTTAGAATATTTAATGCTGCTTTTTAAGTTTATCCCTGTCATTATGGGATGCAAGTTGAGGGATTATAATTGTTTTTCAGGGGAATTTTTTTTTCTTTTTTTTTTTTTTTTCTAAGCAAGGGATCTTTCATCGAGAGCTCTGAGAATAGGCCTTGGAAGAACACTACTGAGTGTATTTAAGCTCCAGATTTCTCACCGAAATAGTCTTGAGGGTGGGGGCTGTGTGTTACTCAGGGGTGGCACCTGGCTCTGTCTTGCCTACAGTAGGTGCTCAGTAAGTTAATGAACTGCGTTTTCTCAACACTGTCAGTAGTAGCATTGACTTTTGCAGCACTCCCATCCACATGATGCTTGAACTGTGGAACTTCAGGATTGAGAGCTCAGGGTTAAGGTTAAAGAGGCACTGTCAACTTATAAAAGTAATAGAGGTCTTTCCTTTTTCTACTTGAAAAGAATTAAAAAATAACCTTAAGTAAATTTAAAAGTTTGAATTCAAAGCAGAGAAAACTGCTTTTTAGAAATTAAAAAATGTAGTTTAATTCTAATTGGTGAAAAAGCAAAGCAGAGAGCAGGAGCAAAAAGACAATGTTGAAAACTTTATAAAATGGTTATATATGTGTGTGTGTGTGTGTGTGTGTGTGTGAGAGAGAGAGTGTGTGTGTGTGTGTGTGTATATATAACCACACACACACACATACACACACTCCTTTGGGCTATGACAATTTGAATACCTTCATATACATATAATACAATTTCAGTTTAGATTTCCTACCTTAAAATACAATATTTTGTGTAGAATACATCTTTATTGTGCTTTACATTAAGTATTTTCTTAAAAGGCTTTGTGTAAAATTAAAATGTGTGTATTTTCTGTTGACTGCCATTGTAATTTTCAGAGATATAGCCTTAAAAAAATGGCCCTAAGAAGTTCTTTCAGTGTTTTTCCAGATGACCTCTGCACATTGAGGTCTATACGTGGAGCCACTTGCTCAGCTGCATTTTGGGGTTTAAATTAGAATTTTCTTACAATTCAATTGAAAGTTGGCTAATAAAATAGTGCCCGGTTAATGAAATATGCTCTGCTAAGTCATAGCCCATATTTATTTAAGTAACGTAATGGAGCTTTTGAGTTGAGGATACAGTATAGACAGTGATTAAGAGCTCAGACTCTAAAGCCAGTCCAGAAGGCAAGTCATTTAATCTCGCTGAGCCTTAGTCATTTAATCCTTCCTCATTGGAAAACCGGAATAATAATAGTAACTACCTCAGGTTGTCATAAGGATTAAATGATAATATATGTAAGAAACTAGCTTCCCTGCCTGGCATATAATGAGCACTCTATAAATGTTAATGACCACTATTATGATTGATAAACTTGGTCCAACGAATCTTAGCCAGGAATGTGCAACAAAACCTTCTGTGTTTAAAAACAAAATAAAATCTGATGATTGATGAGAATTTCCAATGGGGTGAGGTCTCAGCCAGAGTGTTTTATAAGAACCCTGCCAGTTGTTTCCGACACCCAAGCTGTCTGAACACTTACCAGCATCCCACCTTTTTCTTTAGAGCTTAAGGTTGGAAGAGAAGGTAGTTAATTAGTGGCAGAGCTCACTCTCTCGACTTTCTGGTTGTGGGGTCCCCCGCCATTCCTGCTGCCTTGTGAGACACTGCAGAGAAAGTGGCTCAGATAGACAATCAGCCTGCACAGCGCTGCACACTCTAAAGCACATGCTCCTGGCACCCTCTGACCTTCGGGGGCTTGAATGTTGAGTAATGGCAATACTAGCAAAGCAGGCAATCTTCAGAAGTCAGGAATTTAAAATCGGTATGGAGTCATTCTTTGGGACAGACCTCAGCAGCACAGCAATCTGCACTTTGTAATAAAGAAATACCAACTTAAGTTTAAAAAAAAACTAGTCCTACATTCCTCTTTCTTAAGAAAATAACAACATAAAAGTTTATTATTCTGTGCCGTTTTGATGACTGAAATAATGTATATGAAAGCACTTTGAGGAAAAAGTATCAAATGTAATATAACTATAAGGTCATATTTTAAGGTCTATTTAAAAGTTAAAGCATTTGGTTACATGCTGATCAACTTACAGGCTTTCTACCTTGTGGGACCTGAAAACGCAGGTCCTCTGTAACTTACGACATTTATAAATACGGAACTGCTAAAAGACTATGTGCAGGCAGAGTAAGTCTTTTACTGAAATTGTAGCTCAATATTGAATAACTTCAGAAAACTGGGGACCAACTTTCTGGTCTAATGAAAATCATTAGAAAGTAACTCCGGGCACTCACTCACAACAGAGACGCTCTTCCAGGCTCCCTGACTGAATATGGGGCCCTGCTGTTGTGAACATTTGTCACTACGTGGGCACTCCTCTGGCATCCCAAACGTGGCGGCAGCAGGCACATTGCCAGTTGATGTTGACAGTGTCTTTTTTAACCTGTGTCCTGTGTGCGGTTGTTGTTTGTTGTTTTCTGCGGGGCAAAGGGTGGGAGAGGAGATTGGATGGCTGTAGAACCAGAGCGTTTTAGGATTTCCTGTCAGTTATAAATGAGCGTGACATGCATAATCCATGTTTATTTTTTTTCTAAGAAGAGTAGCTGAACGTAACTCACCTGTTAGATTATAAAATACCTGTAAAAGAGGAAATTGCATTGGTGGCCACTTTGAGTGACAGCTGCACTGTCTCCTATATTCCCTTCCTTGTTTGCTCCTGATGGCATCACTCCTCTCAGGCTCTGCTTCCACAGGGACTCACGTTGGGCTGACAGCGTTGTCTGCAGGTTTGTTCTTGATGACTTTGGGGTTTCAGCATCTTGCTTGCATTAATTTGGGATCCATCTCTCTACCCTTAGCCTGTATGACCAGTCCTCTTTACGTTCTAGTTAGGTGGGTCTCCAGTGTTTCCCAACCTTCTCTCATGATGAGAATCACCTGGTGGAGTTGTTAAAACACCGATTCCCGGATCCCAACTAAGAAGTGCTAAACTAGAATTTTTGGGAACATATAGGTAAAATTGTATACTTAACTAGTGCTCTAAGACAGATTTTATATACAGAGCACTAAGTTAGGTATGCAATTTTACCTATATGTTCCCAAAAATTCTAGTTTAGCACTTCTTAGTTGGGATTCGGGAATCTGTGGTTTAACAACTCCACCAGGTGATTCTCATCATGAGAGAAGGTTGGGAAACACTGCTCTAGACATAAGTTTCTTCTAATGTATTTAATAGACCCCAGCTGTCTAGATCTCTGTCTTAGCTTCTGTCAAGCCAGTAGCTCGGTTCTTTTGTAAATCCCTGATTCAGTTTGAGATCTGTGGGAGCGAGAGAGAAAGAGAAAGGCCAGCCCTAAGGGTTGCTGTTAGCCACAGCCTGGTCACAGAGGAAGGCCTAGGGCTGGTTCTAAAATGTGTCCTACTGTTAACGGATATCTATCTATATCTTTGGGGTAGAGTTTCAGTTTTCCAACTCCCAGACTGTAAAAAAAAAATCTAATGTAAGGCTTGCTTTTTCGGGCAGGTGAATATGCCTGGCATAACAGCTACCGTTCCCTGCTCTGTCACCGTGGGCTTCCACTGCCCGCCCGGTCTCCTGTTACCGGGGAAGCACGGTGATTGCAGGGCTGCTCAGTGACTGTCTTCTGTGGAGTTTACGGCAATGTCCAAAACGGTGGGCTTCCGCTCCGTCCTGCTGCCTCCCATCCCCCCCCCCCCCCCCGAGGCGCACGTTATGCCTTGAGATAACGTGTCCTCTTTCCCAAGAACAGGACACTGGGGGAGGCTCCGCCCTGTGATGGTCAGGCAGGGTAGAACACCCCGTGCTTCTCCCCTGGGGAGGAGGCCTGGGCAGCTGGGAGCGGTGGAGATCAAGGATGGGCTTGTGAGTTTCGCAGAGGAAAAGACGTGCCATCCCGGTTGAGGTTGTAACGTTATTGAGCTGGTAGACATGAACATGATGGGTGCAGTGGCTCCAGCCCTGGTCAGGGAGCGTCCCTATTTGGAAGTTCTCCTCGCACAGGCCGTTGATGTTGGCAGACCACTGCTCTTCTCTCCGTCCTGCTGGGGAATGGGGGAAGGTGCTCCAACTGCACCCTGCCCTCCCTCCAGGTGCACTCGCTGCTTTGCTCCTATATACAATTACACATTTGAAATTGTTTACCTCTCCTAGAAAAGAATATCCTTTAACCTCCGCATTGCTGACACAGTAGCAAGGCCTTGTTAACTCAACCCGTAGTCACAGGTGGTGTGTGAGCAGATCTTCAAACCTGCAGACCCGCTAAATCAGGGGTGGGGAACCTTTTTCCTGCCAAGGGCTATTTGGGTATTTGTAACATCATTCGAGGGCCATATAAAACTATCAATTTAAAAAGTATATTGAATTTCTAGTCCCTCCTGCAGTCACGCCTGGCAGAGCCGGCTGTGCGGAAAGGACGGCTCCTGTAAGTTGAAAGGCTAGACCAGTGGTCAGCAAACCGGGGCTCAAGAGCCACATGTGCTCGCGAGTTCGGTTTGCCGCTCTGTTGACTGAGTTTGCTAACCACTGACCTAGACTCTCGGTTCCAATAATTTCAGGCTGTTGTTTTTTTGTGATTAAGCCCCTATCCCAGTGGTCGGCAAACTCATTAGTCAACAGAGCGGCAAACTGCGGCTCTAGAGCCACAATTTGCCGACCACTGGGCTAGACCGATACTGTCCTCAGACCACACCTTGTACCGCCCTCTTGTGTCCTTTCTTTGTTCATCGTTGTACTGAAAGCCAGTTTCTGGGTCCTACATGTCACTCATACTTCTGAGCTGTACACACAGGGCTTGAGGGCTTGGAGCATTCCAGTTAATTTTTCGGATACAGTGGAAATGAACTGTCAGGTGCTGGCAGACTTAAAGGAAATATAGTACGTATGGTTGGAGCTTCTTGTATAGATTTGCTTCTGAATCTTAAGATGGTATTAAATCATGTGTTTAAGCACCATAAACGTTAGTTGGAGAATGGGACTTCTGGTTAATAAAATAATCATATGTGAGGATAGTTAATTTCAGCAGTTCCCACAATAACACAGGTATGCCAAATCAGCGTGTTCTGGATTCGGGAGATCCTGCAGGAGCGGCGTTGCTTTAGGCGGTCAGCCCTAAGGTATCTGTGTGATTCAGATACCTTCAGCCTGTGTGCAGAGGCAGAGAAGCTTCTGGTAGATGAGGCCTGGATTTCCTTCATTTTGAAAAGCTATTTCACACGATGGCCCCTGTTTTTGGAACTCCTTTAGGAGAGAAATTTTCAGAGATCTGGAGAAGTCAGCTTGATTAGGCTAATTGCCCGTCAGAGAAAGCAGTATTCAGAAGCTGGAAAGGACACTGAGGTACTCATAGCTATTTAGGACGTATGTTTGAAAACCCTCCTCTCTCGGGTCTGTATAGAGAACATGCCATGCCCACACTTCGTGCATACACTGTTGCCGTGCTCACTATGAAGGGGGGGTAAGAGAGGGAGGAAATGGGATCGCTCAGTGTGAGCAGAGGCTGTGCCCTGATGGTGTGTCTGCGGAGAACAGGCTGCCTGAGCTGTTGTCTGTGCTCAGAGCCGGTCTCCTGGGTGTACCCCATCCTCTTCCTTCTCTGCAGTTTGATTCTATGACTGTCAGTGGAGGAACCCAGTTTTATGTTCACTTGGCAAAAACCAATTAGAGAATTTTGTCCTAAAACATAGGCTTCAGATTCTTCAAAACTTGTTCAACGTTTATACCAAAGGTCACGCTCTGCAGGTGCATGTGGTGGGTGCACAGAGGGTGAGGTCTGGAGGGCCTGGCACTGTGCGCGTTGCTAAGGGGACACAGTGAGACAACACGGGACTTAACTGAAAACACATCAGTCATGGGTCACACTGCCGGTGTTGTCAGGTGTTTGCTCTTGTTATTGTAATATATTTTCAGGTGTTTTGTTTTCTAATTTAATTCTCTCACCCTGTTGTCTGACTGTGAACTGCTAACAGTGTTAAACTTGATGTAAATAAAGGAGGCCCTGCAAAGGGGAATGCTGTCTGCCTGTTGTCTCACAAGGCTTGCCAACTTGTGTTTTATTTTAAATAAAGGTTGCAATATTTTATTGGCAAAGAAGGCTTTTGATTGGAGTGTTTCTCCCATCATTTTAACTGGCAGGGAATCTGAGCAGAATTTGTGGGTAATGTCTGTAAGGTCAAGAAGCTGGGTTTGGCAATCATCCCTCTGGTGCATTCTGTAGAATGTCCTCTGTAGGGGTGAACACTTCTCCTTTGATGATTCTGTTTTTGAAAACGGCCAAAGGCAACGTCTGGAGTCCAGCTGGTACATCAGGTGGGTGTGTATGTGTGTCTTTCTGTCCGTCAGTCCGTCCCATGTGAGGTGACTGTAATAATGAGATGTAGTTCTTTCCAAGTCCATTTTGAGGACAACTACAAATAAGTTCTAAAAGTGTTTTGAGCCCAAGCAGCATGAAGAGAGGAAGTGTAGAACCTCACAGGGAACGTTCTATTCTTGTTTGACTTGATCTTTAAGTGCTTAAAAATGAGCCATTGCTTTTAGACGTCATGTTTTCATTACCTACGAGTAGGAAGTACTCAGGTGGTGCCCTGTGAGGTCATTAGTGGCTGTTAAACATTAGCTTGTAACCCTCACTCCCACCTGCTGTCCTTTTCTCCCATCTGCTTTGGTTAGGAGAACCTTCATTTCCACAACTGAGGCTGTGGCATTTGCTGAGGAAATATGGAAATTGTTTTAGAAACAAGTCCTTAAAGCACAGGAGCTGAAGTCGGATTGCCTGGCTCGAACCCCCCCTCCTGGCTCGAGCTCTGACTTTCCAAAGAAATCTCACCCCTTGGAGTCCAGGTGTCTTTTATTCAACAGCAAGGGAATTGGTCCCAGTCATCATGGTCAAGATGATGGTTGTCCAGCGCTTAGCACAGGGCCCAGCACATGGTAAGTTCTCAGACGTTGGTTACCTAGCCAAGTTCCAAGAACTAGAATGGACAAGGGCAGCCATGGCTTGGAGCAGTGTCAAAACTGACAGCAGTTTGACCACGTTTTTATTGTTCTGTTACCCGAGCACTTGATCAGTATTAACCAGTTTAATCCTCACAGCATCCCTGGGAGGTAAGTACAGTTGTGCTCACTTTCACAGAAGTGGAAACCAGATCATACCGGGGTTAACCGCTTTCCTGTCATCGCCCAGTGGAAGGTGGCGCAAGGCAAGTGTTCGAACCACTGACTTCACTGTTTGACTTGTTCCCGGGCTGGAAGAGGTTTAGACCTATAGTCACAACATCAGACATGGCTGGCCAGTGCTGACGGGTGCCCGCTGTGACTCAAACCTGAAGCTATAGAATGCACCTCTTACAATGTGTGTTGCAGTTTAGAGCTGGGTATGAGAGGATCGGGTGGCCTGCTCCTCCCTCCCCAGATGCTCTGGCCCGAGACAGGGACAACACTGGCCCCCATCGAACCGGTGCTGCTAGGCCGTTTACTTTTGGCCCATGAGTGTTTTCTGGGGACCTGCGGGGGCTTGGGCTAGGTGCTCCCTAACCAGGAGGCATGAGGCAGGACTAAGAAGTGTCCCGTGGGGGGAGACAGAAGTCGGCCACTTCACCCTGCTCGGTGAGGGCTCTAACTCAGAGGCGACAGGTGAGGTGGTGACAGTGACCCGTGTGTAATTCAGAAGTGGGTATGGGAGGAATGTGAGCACTCGTCAGTGTCTAGGGCACAGTGTACACGTGGCCTTTCAGTCCTCAAAAACGACTTTTCAAAGCTGGGAGCATGGGAGTGACTTCCTTTTCTTATGTAAAAGCATATGAAGGAAGCCTTTTCAGTACGAAGTTGAAGGAAACCGGCAGAACAGACACCTGGTGTCAGCTTGGCGAGTCCCCACCCCATACCCCCGGCATCAGGCTGAGTGAACAGGCTTACTAGGTCCCATTAAGAAATTAGGCTGAAGGATTTAGAAAAATAGAACATTTTAATTTTTACATATGGCACAGTAATGTCAAGGCCCTTAACTTTAAATAAAATTTTTTTTAACCTGCAGAACAAATTTCATCCTATACCAATGTATTTTTAAAACATTATTCTATGTACCTTTATTTTCCAGCCCGAGGTTCTTCCCTGCGGTGGTCACAGGTACAAGCTGCTCAGCTTCCCTCTGAGAGCAACAGTGTGAAAGCCGGCCCCACCTGCCACGGTAAGAACTTTTTTCCCTTCGTGTCACGGAGAATCCTGCAGCCTCCGGTCCCACACCCAAGTCCAAGCAGCTGCAGGCAAGAGCAGAGGTGCTAAGAAGCCACTGGGATGTGTTGCTCTCCCACCTGTTCTCCAGCCACTGGCCCACGTTTTGGAATGTGGCTCTGGCTTCTGATTGAAGGCCTTCCTTTCACACACCACTTGTGTCAGTGAGTGCTGGGCGTCTGCTGACCCCAGGATCCTGTTAGGCAGCTTCAGGTTTTCATCTTGCTCTCAAGGCAGAAAATAGTTAATTCTCTGGGAAACAGATTTGCATCCCTGAGAAGAAAAGAGTTGTTCCTCTTTGGGGACATACACCATCATCTTGGCAATTTCGTCCAGAGCCGCCTCTGTAAACGGGAGCTCCTGGCTCAGGAAAGCATCCCGTGCACACAGCCTCACGTGGCGGTACTCCAGCGGCAGGAAGGGGACAAAGAAGTCAATCAAGTTTTCCTTCACCAGGCGGCTGTGGCCAAAGCCACTGTCTGAAATTAAGACCACAGTGACATTAAGGTGACCAGACGTCCCGCTTTTGGCGGGAAAGCCCCGATTTTTAACAATTTGTCCCAAGTCCGGCAACATTTTAAAACAGTCCCCTTATCGGACTGTTTTAAAAAAATATATATTTTATTGATTTTTCACACAGAGGAAGGGAGAGGGATAGATAGCTAGAAACATCGATGAGAATCATCGACCAGCTGCCTCCTGCATACCCCCTACCGGAGATGTGCCCACAACCAATGTACATGCCCTTGACCGGAATCGAACCTGGGACCTTTCAGTCTGCAGACCGATGCTCTATCCACTGAGCCAAACCGGTTTTGGCAGACTGTTTTGTTAAAAATCAGGACGTCTGGTCACCTTAAACATGGCAATCTGGACCCAACTGGAGTGAGAGGTGTCCTGACAGGCCTGGGCAAGGTTTGCTCTCAGGGCCACTCCAGGAGGGCTGAGTATCAGGCCCTATCTGCTCTAGAAAGAGTGACCCTTCCCTCTGATTGGAGGCCTAGCCCCAGGGTCCACAGGCCACTGCAGGTATCTCCAGGGCAAACGGCTCTCAAAGCATTTTCAGAAAAGGAGTTCAGCTTTCTCGTGCCTCCCTGAAGCTGAGGAGATGATCACAGGGTGTGCCCTGTGGGGTCTCAAAAGCACACATTCGAACCTGTGAGTCAGTTACCTGTGGACGCCACAATCTCAGCCTGGAGGCCGGACTCCAAGTGTTCCATCGTGATATCTTCCCGGGACCATCCAGCCTTCAGCAGACTCAGGACCACCTCATTGATGACATTGCCTCCAAGGTTACTGAAAGAGACAGAAGCTTGTTAACAGATTTCATCTTTATGTTTAAGGTTTTAAGTGAAGGACTTGCCCCTGAGGCCACTGCACGCGAAGAATGGGAGCTGAGGTCGGGGCTCCGCCAGGAGATGTTGTCACAACGCAGAGGTCACTACAGAGAGACATGGTCCTGCCTTGCTCCCTTTTGACAAACACTGAGGCAGGGGGTGCCGGGAGCCCAGAGGTGGGTGCTGTGGTTCTCTCCGCTGACTTCCATGTGTATGTGATTCCAGGACAGTGGCAAAGGCTAATGTAGGAGACAACTCCAGGGGGAGGGCAAGTTAAGGAGGCACAGTTCAGAGGGGCCCGTGACTGAAGGCTGAGAGAGAAAGGTCATTAAAGAATAGGCCTGTTTGCCTTGAGCTGCCTCATCCTAACAGAAATGGACTGTAGAAGGTGGAGACATGTGCCTATGATATTAGGCAACTAGAATTTCAGGTCTGAAGCACAGGAAAGAGGACTGGGTTGGAGATATGAAGGAGAAAAAGGGTGAGAAGGAATCTTAGTGCCACCACTGGGATACTGGGAATGGGGAGGGACACCTGGAGTTGGCAGTGCTGCTTCCTTCTCTCCCCTCTCCTCGGACTTCTGCAGCTCCTAAACCAGTCTCCCTTTCCCCAGGTACATCAGCTCAAGTGTCTGTCTGAGTGCGGCCCGTGTGCCAGGCTCCGGGGCACAGAAGCAGCTGACTGGTTCTCTCCCTGCCTAGCAGGTAAGCTGACCATCTAGCCAAGTGACCCAGTGCCCAGCTGGAACCTGGCAGCAGCAAGGGGAGTCTCTGTCCAATTGCACAAGTTCAGCTGCACGTAGGGAAGCTTCTGCTCCAAGGCCTGCCCGGGAGGTCATCTCTGCACGCAAGCGGCCGCACTTGCATCAGCTGAGGTAAGACCTGCCCGCAGATTGCCCCATCGAGGGCAAGACGGGGCATGTGTGGGGCTCGCTCACTCAGCAGCACAGATTCCAGTGGCTTCCCCCTTTCCCCCAGAACCATCTGCCCGACACTAAGTTTATGGAGAGCAGAAGCTTAGCCTATTTATGTGACCACCGTGTACAGCACCGAGCACCTGCTCAGTGGGTATTTCTGTCTGCACCGTTGTCTCCACTTCCCTTCTGAATTTCTGTTTTGTCCTGCAGCCACCATCTCACTCACAACATAACCTGGCGCCTTTTCTGTTCACTCCTAATCCTTAGGAGCTGCTGCATCGGCACCAACCTCTAGACAGAGGTTGCCTTCCTCATCCTCCCAGGGCACCTCTAGAGACTAGCCCTGGCTCTGGGTAGGACATGTAATCTCACGAGCCCAAAGGCCTTTTCGGCACGCTACTCTCTGAATCTTAGTTTCCACATTTGTAAAGAGAGAGACTAAAGATACCCTCCTTAGGCTCCACAGTCAACATACGTGCATTGGCTTCTTCCCTGGGGTACAATTCCTTTCTTTCTCCTCTCTGCACTGTTATCAGGAAAAGAAAACAGCCATTAATGTCCCTCTTTACTTCCCAGCAGTGAGAAGTGGACAGGCCCTCTGGCCTGGGAGTTCCGAGGCCCTGCCTGTGGCCAGCTGGAGCCTTCCCTGCCGGCAGCAGAGGCAGCGGCAGTGAGTGTTCGGGCCCCGTCTAAGCCTCCATACCCACATGTCCTTTTCAACCACCACCTCAACTCCAACAGCAGCTTCAGGAAAAATTTCTAGAGTTGTTCACACTAGAAGTTTGAATCAGCTGTGCTTTTCTTTCAGTTAGAGGAGTCCTTACCACAGATTCTAGAAATCAAGCCCAGAAACTCGTTAACGAGAAAAACCAGAGGCACTGTGCTGAAAGCCTCATGGCACCAAGCCTAGACTTCCCCGGTCAGCCCACTGAGCTGATCTGTCACACAGCCCTCTTCTATCGCCACGGAAGCTGGCCTTGTCAGAAACGGACCTTTTGCCAGCAGCTTTCACGTCCTGTCCAGTTTTGCCTATAAAAAGCTTTCCGTTGTCCGGCTTCTCAGAGCAACTCTATTTACTAGATGGGCTGCTGCCTGATTCAGGAACCACTTAATAAAGCCTATTAGCTCTTCAAATTTATTCAATTGAAGTTTTGTTCTTTAACATTCAAATCCATGTCTTTCAAATCCATGTCTTTTCCTACCCATCTCTAAGTAACTGAAAACCTTCAAGGTTTAAAGGGTGGTGACCTTGCTGGCCCTTGGGTGGTGGCGCCTTTCCCCTACCCTGCCTCCACCATTCATGGCCCGTCTGGGTTGCTAGTGAGGGGGTACAGAGACCAAAATACTACCATGGCAAACATGTTAGAGATACAGCAGGGTCACCGTAGGAAGCCTGGCACAGGTGCCAAGAACTGGGCCGAGCCCATGCGGAGGAACAGTCAGCTGCAGCCACAAGGCAGAAGTGGCTCAGGTGAAGTGAGAGGAAGGAGAAGCTGTGCACAAAGTCAAAGGATTTCTACAAAAGAGAGAGAGAATCATGGGCTGGTCACCAGCATCCTTCCATGGGGGAAGGACTGGTGTCTGCAGCAGTTGAGGGGGTCCCCTGGACTCCCCCCACCTGACAGGGTTTAGGTGGAAAAGCTGTGAGGCTGCCTCAGGTAGTCAATAACACAGAGCCAATCATATCAGATCTTTCTGCTTTTCTCTTAAAACCACCTTGGTCGGCCTCCTGCTCTCCACAATGCACTACAGTTAGTATCACATAAGCCTTTCTTATAGGCCAGGAAGGACTTGCCATCAATGCATCGAAATCACAACAGTTTAAACTGGTCTCATGTTGTAGGTCCACAGTCAAAAAGGATCTGCCCTCCACAGCTCATCCTCACTCTCTCCAAACCTTATGCACCTTAAAGCTGGGGAGAATTCCCTAGCAAGCATGTACTAGCCTGGGGAGGGAACAACTGGTTTGTCTTCCACAGAGTGCAAGAAGCGGCTGAGGCATTCAAGTTGGGCCAACAGGGACCCAGACTTAACAGACCTTGGGCAGCCCATTCCCAGTTGGAGCCTCCATAAAATAAGGTTGGACAAGTTGATTTCTAAGCCTGTTTTCAGCATAGCCTTTTCCAGAGCCTGAGTCACGTAGCACAAAACAGCAAAGGTCCTGTGTGGTGGGCTTGCAAATAGGGAGACAAAGAGCACTTCCTCATTTAACACATTATCCCTGAATTTCAAGCCAGTAACAACTTCTCATGATCAGAGAAGAAAAAGACTTTCCAAGGATGGGGAGAGAACACACCATGTTGGAGTTAGTAAAAACTACCCTTTGGGTCTACATTAAGAATTTTCCAAGGTAGTTTGTACTTGATTTTGAACTCATTTGCTGACTTGAAAACTAATGCCCTACTAAGAGGGGAATTCCCAGTGTATGAGCTACATTTCAAACTATATTACAAAGTTGAACACAAAATTCAATCCCACGTGTATATGGTCATAATATGACAAAGGAACCAAGAATAAATAATGTGGGAGACAATCTATTCAATAAATAGTGCTGGAGAAACTGATAGTCACATGCAAAAAGATGAAACTAAACCACCATCTTATACCGCACACAAAAATGGCCTCAAAATGGATTAAGTGCTTGTATGTAAGATGTGAAGCTCTAAAACTCCTAGCAGAAAACAGGTGGTAAGATCCTTATGTCTTGGCAATGATGTTTTTAGATTTTACACCAAAAACAAAAGTAAGTGGGACTAGTGGGACTACAACAAAGGAAATGAACAAAAGGAAGAGGCAACCTACTGAATTGGAGAAAATACTTGGTAAGCCATATACTTGATGGATTAATACCCAAAATATATAGAGAACTTATAACTCAATAGCAAAAAAATACACATCCCAAACAAGCAGATTAAAAAATGGGCAAAGGATCTGAAAAGATATTTTTCCAAAGAGGATATACCAGTGGCCAATGAGTACACAAAAAGATGTTCAGCATCACTAATCACAGAAGTGCACAGAGAAGACATCACCTCATGCCTGTTAAAATGCCTGGTATCAAAAGGAGGAGGTGAATGCTGGTGAGGGTGTAGAGCAGAGCGAGCCCTTGTGTACTTGGTGGGATTGTGCAGACGGGGGTATGAGGGACCCCACCATCCTGAGAACAATGGGGGAGGCTAGATGAGAGGCAGCTGCTCTTCCCCACACAAGTCCCCAGAGTGAGTTTGTACTTAGCTGGCCATTGGGGGGAAGTGGGGACCACAGGCTTTCAGAAGTGTCCTAGGATACAATCAGGGCAGGAGCCTGAGACTTAAGGCTCCCCACCTGGTAGCATAGGACCTTTCCTGTTTTGTGCTGTGTGACCCAGCTCTGGAAAAGGCTATGCTGACACTCTAAGCAGCTAGGTTTCTATGTTCTTGACTACAGTCACAGGTTTCCCTGTGACAAGGGTCTGTAGCTTAGGAGAGCACAGAAGCACACACAGCACCTGGACAAAGGTTCTTCCTCCCTCGCCATCCTCCCGTTTTCCCTCAGACCTTACCTGAGAAAAAGGAAGATGGTTCTAGGGGACTCAGCCTTGTGGTTCTCCAGGACCTGGCGTTCCAGATGTGGCCCAAGGGCCTCCAGCAGCCCTGGGTGCAGCTTCTCAGCCTCATCAAAAATGAACAGGGTCTGGTGGCAATGCTCCTGCGTCTTCCTCACCTGTTCCGTCAGCTGCTCCTGCACAGAAAACGGAGCAGTTGGGGACCCCTAGCGGCACAGGGCCCTGGTGAGGCGCCCTTTTACCCTGGTGAAGCATCTGCAGTGATTGCCTAGGGCTGGGTTCTACTGGTGGAGGTGGGGCTATCCTGGGAGAGGGAGAAAGAGACGGCCTTGCCTGCTCTTGGTTAACAGCAGGCCCTACTCCCTCCCCTCCAGGAAGAGGTCTCAGAACTAAGAGCCAACTCGCCCTCCCCAACGGATAGGAATCAGGCTCTAATACAGGGGTCAAAGGTAGAGACAAGCTCAAGTGCCAGAGGCAGCCACAGTCCCACTTGAACTTCCAGGAGCAGAGCTCCCACTGCGAAGGACCTATCTGAGTCTACTTGGCCTACTTGGAACTGGGGCTTCCCATTCAGGCAAGAATCTCTTTTGAAAAGATGCCGCTTTGTGGGGTTCACCAGATCAGGGCCAGCTCTGCCCCAGGGTGGGGTGTTTTAGCAGAGCCCATACTCACTGTTGCCTGTAGCCTTCCTGGATCCTGACGTCAGTGCCCTGTGACCCGAGTGTGTAATATGTGCAAGGTGTGAGTGTGTACATGTCATTTTTCATGGTGAGGAAGCCACAGTCAAAGCTGTTCTGGGAAGGCCTGGTTGACCAGTTGCCTGCCTTTAGGACAGTTCACCCTACCCTGCCCTCTGAGGCCACACTGAAACTGCCAAGTGACTCAGGCAATCGCTCCTCAAATGCTTACCTCATCTTCCCAGGTTATCGCATTCCAGGTATTGGCCTGGAAAGCCAGAGACAGACATTGTCCAGCTTACTTTAAATACTACATCTAATGGAAGAAAACCAAACTAACAGAGCAGCAGACGTTTTTTCTCTCTCCATTTGGGGGAAATCACTTACGATATGATAGTATGCAACTTTCTGTCCACTCTAATGACGGTGACATCAAGCAGCATAAGGAAAGGCTTGCAGGAAGCACACCAAATGCTAACTATTTGTGTCCGTGTGGGGAGGTCATGATAAAGCTTTTGCCTTCCTCTGTACCACATTTCCTGTAACTTCCACTACTATCACAGAAAATTAACACATGGACTCTTTAAGCTCAGTGTCTGGCAGGTAAGGAGACAGCTCGGGACAAGTGGTGTGGAGCCTGTCAGTCCTCCACATGCTCGGGTCCTCCTCTGTGTGGAGTGGATGTTTCTGCGGGCTACAGGTTCTGCTGAAATGGACCCTGTCCCCCAAGCCGCATACCTAGGCTTCTCGAGAGCCCATCCCCCAGCACAGAGGGCTGCGCCTCGGGCCGTCCAAGCCTCTCTCCAGCCCCAGCACTGCACTGCCAGCCTCACCTTGTACAGGTCCACGTACTTGGGGTGAGGGAAGTGCATCATAGTGATGAACACCTTGACACAGTCACTCCTCAGCCCATCCCGGTACAGGTTCTCCGCCAGCAGCCGAGCCACGAAGTTCTTGCCTGTGCCAGACCAGCCGTGGAACGACAGAGCCAGGGCCTTGTCCGGCCGGGGCAGCTCCAAGTAGCTCCTCACTGTGGTCAGGACCAGCTCCCGGGCCAGGTGCTGGCCGTGCAGCCGCACACTCAGGTCCGACTGCAGGCCTGGGGGTAGGAAAGAGGCCACAATGAGAGGTGCACAAAGTGCAGTCCCCACCAGGCGGGCAGCAGCCGAGAGTGAACATCGCTGAGGTGGGAGCACTTTGGCCTCAGAACAAGCCCTGGGCACACCTGGCAGCACCAGGGACCCTAGGGCTCTTTTCTGAAGAGTGGAGAAGTCACCATTGAACTCGGAGAGAGTGACCCATCGCTCTGAAGACCCTCAGAATGGGTGGGAGAGCCCTGTCTGGAGGAGCCGCCGCACACCCCATGCTCGCAATTGCTCCCCCTGGGAGTTTCAGAACTCCCTACACACTTCATGGGACATCCTCACTCTATATTCATTTTAACAATTCAGCAAACGCCTGTGGACAGTGTGCGCAAAGTCTCCTGGTAGGCTTTCCCTCCGCACGGCCATGAGTGCTGCCGGCTGTGGAAGGATGAGGAAAGGTTCCCTATACCTTAGCCATTTCCCCGAACCGCCTCCCCTTCCCACAGATCTCTATCCCCTTGGAGGCATGCAAGGTCCAACCTGTGAAGTTGTTGGAGACCCTGCAGTCCCCATGGTCACAGCAATCCCGGAAGCTGCAGTACCACGTGGTCAGGATATCCAGGTACTGCTGGCCCAATAGTGGAAGGCTCCAGCCTGGAAAAGGAGGGGCTGTGAGAAACACACACAGCAGGGGGCCCAGAGGGAGCTACCCTCCCTGCCCAGTTCTTCCAGTCCCTGGCCCACCCTCCAGAGCCACTCTCGGTACACTTTTCCCTGGGCCTCCCTTGTGCCTGGGCACGAGTGGACACCTATCTTTGCTATTAATGTAGCTCCAGGAAAGTCTCGGTTGACTCAACAAACATGCCCTAGGCACTGTGCCAGGGTGGCCTGGAGCCCAGACCCTGCCTGCAAGGAGTAGCCATCTAGTTGGGGACAGTAAGCTGGTGGTGATCATTCTTCCTACTTGCTCTGGGTTCCAAATCTGATCATAGCCAAACCCAAAGGCCTCTAAATTCTTTTGCCAAATGTCAATTTGAATATAGCCAGCATTGGCAAAACTAAAAACCATACGCTGGAAATTAGAAATCTTAGACCTAACAAAAGATGTGTAGAGCACCATTACCGTACTATTACCAGATGCAGAGTTATTAACAGAGACCGAAAAAAGCCTGAGATCATCCGGTCCATGACAGTGACAGAACGGGAACTAGAACTCAGGTTGGGACTCCTAGCCCAGGCTCCACCTCCTTAAGCAACAGAGGAGGAAAGGGGACTTCGGGTGTGTCCATCAAGGCGTGAGCCTTCTGGAGGAGTCAGGAGCCACAGAGCACAGCCAGGCCCATCCTCTAAGAGGGCTGTACCTGGGACGAGGGTGGCAGGGGTGAGGCCTCCTGGTCCTCCCGGGACTGGGCAGCACAGCTAAGGCGCCAGCAGGGTGGTCCTGAGGTTGGGCACGTCTCACCCCCGGGTCTTACCCTGCGCCCCCGCGGGGGCCTCCTTGTCCAGCGAGCAGGTCTCGGGCCACACGCGGCAGCAGAAGAGCGCCCAGTACCGTCTGGAGAGGGCGCCGGCCGCCCTCGCCCACTTGCGCAGGTCCCGGAAGGGGAAGGACGGCCAGGCTGGTCCTGAGCCGGGCTCTTCGGCCGCCTCTGCGGGCCCAGCGGGGTCGTGGAGCTCCAGGGCGCCCGCCAGGGGCAGCAGCAGCAGCAGCAGGAGGAGGACCCTGAGCAGGAGCTGGCTCCGCAGGCCGCGCGGCATGTCCGGCCGAGCTCCCGCCGCTCCCGCCCGGCCTCGCCCGGCCTCTCAAGCCCCGAGCTTCCTGTCCAGGGCTGAATCCAGGTCGCGGCTGGAGATTGGAGTTGCCACAGGAACTGCAGCCCCACGTGACCCGGGCGAGGCGGGGCCCCAAACCGAAACCTAAGCTGGGCCCAGAGGGCATGGCGAGGCTGAGAGCGAGCACCGCCCACCGCAGGGGCGGGCATCGGCCGCGGTGTGTTCTGAGCTGGTTGTGGCTACAAGGGTGAAGTGGGAAGGCCCCGTCATCACCTGCTATTACTTTCAGGCAGCTCCAGGGCCCATGAGGCCTACCGCGTCCGGGCACCCTCTGTGCCCTGCCGGTGTCAGATCAGCTTTCTGCCAATCTGTTAGACCACATGTGTCAAACACAAGGCCCGCGGGCCAAATCCGTCCCGCCAGGCCTTGCAATGTGGCCCGCACCGCGCTGTCATCACTGCACTCCGCTGCGTTTCCATCACAATGACAGTTTATGACTGTTCAGTAAACCATTTGGCCCGCGATTTAGGCTGGATTTTAGATTTTGGCCCCTTCTCTGATTGAGTTCGACACCCCTATGTTAGAGGAAACCGGAGCACCCCCTCACCCAGAGGCAGAGGCTGGTTTGGCGGGAACGGTCAGCTGCCTGGAGAGGAGGCCCTGAGAGGGAGAAGGAAGGGAAAGGAACCTGGCAGCTCGTCACCAGCAGGTTTCCTCAGCTGGGCATCAGCACAAGCAAAGGGAAGCTGTGGGCTCCCATCTGGAGATGTGGGTTTTGGAAACTCCCAGAGTCATGGGGAAATCATAAGGTCTCATGTCAATGTAATCAGATCTCATTAAAAAACACTGTGAGACTTCCATGGCTATGTTGGCAATTTTTAAGCGCTTGTGACCATAAGCGGCTTCTGACACCACTGGCCAAAGACCTGAGGGCCTTCCTTTCCCATAACACGGGCATCCTGCCAGGTTGTCAGCTCTCAGAAGAGCTTAAAGCAGTTTTCTGTCACCTGACTTACTGTGTACCTGGCCTACAGCCACCTTGTCTTAAGAAACTGCTTAATAGGGTCCATGGGACTTGGCTACTGTCATAGGCTCAATGGCTCTGAGGTTGGACTCTCCCGCCAGTACAGTGAGTCTTAGCGCCATGTCTCATTAATGTCACAAGCAAATTGATTCACCTGTTCCTCCCAGTCTCTGCTCCTTCCTCAGCAGCTCACCAGATTCATTGTTTCTTTCTTTGAATTCATTCATTCATTCCTTTCAGAAATCAGGCAAATACCTTGGTTAGGATACGAGAGCCAGATTGCAGAGTACTGTTATCTAAGTATATTGTACATCTTAGCCACTCAGAGTGATGTCAAAATTGAACCCAAACCTTCCAGAGAACAGTGCCCAGTCCACAAGTCCTCATTATGTCCAGTCCAGCACATGGAATCCTTCAGGGGACACTTAACAAGGAACATGCTAACCTTAGTCAGAAATTGAAAACATTAACTCATTCAGTATATGTCATTTGAGTGTGAATGGCAATCTAATATGCTGGTTAACTGCCCCTACCATTTTCTGTATGTGACCTGGGTGCTACTTAACTGACCTGTGCCTCAGTTTTCTCACCTATAAAATGGGGATAATATAATATAGTCAGTTTATAGAGATGCTATGAAGATCAATGGGCTAATTCAATTATATGTTATCTTTCATTATCACATTTGCCTCACCCTGGACGAGGCCCTGGATGGGTACACAGCAAGTCTGAATGGCCGAAACCGGTTTGGCTCAGTGAATAGAACGTCGGCCTGTGGACTGAGGGAATCCGGGTTCGATTCCAGTCAAAGGGCATGTATCTTGGTTGCAGGCACATCCCCAATGGGGGATGTGCAAGAGGCAGCTGGTCGATGTATCTCTCTCATCGACATTTCTAACTCTCTATCCCTCTCACTTCCTCTCTGTGTAAAATCAATAAAATATATATTTAAAAAAAAAGTCTGAATGGCTTTCTTTATACTAGTGAAGTTTACAGGTGAATGTATGGTGATAAAATTATTAGAATTAACCTATTTAAAAAAATCCAAATTTTAAGACTGTAGAAATAATAATCTCTTTACTGTAACTTTCATGTAATACTAACTGCTAATTTCTGAGATATTCTGATTTAAATTTTGCATTTCATGGTAAATAAAGTAGGTAACTGGAAAATTCTTGGACAAGCAACTTGATTTCAAGAAGACATTTCTTTTTCTAAAAGAAATAGAGCTAAATATTTCTTTCACCAAAATCAGTAACACATAGAAATAATGAATCAGAATGAAAAAGAGTCGGGCTAGTATTGCTCAGTGGTTGAGCATCGATCTATGAACCAGGAGGTCACAGTTTGATTCCAGATCAGGACACGTACCGGAGTTGCGGGCTCCATCCCTAGTGTGGGGCGTGCAGGAGGCAGCCAATCACTGATTCTCTCTCATCACTGATGTTTTTTCTCTCTCTCCCTCTCTGTAATCAATAAAAACATTAAAAAATTAAAAAGAAACAATGAATCCAGTTTTTAGACAGCCTCTAGTTTCAATAAACTGCTAACATTGCCTATGAGTTGAACTCTAGGAGCAAACCTCATGGAGGATGGGGACATCTAAAGGCACATGTGAACACTACAGGCAGCAAATCCTATCAGTGATATTCAATTGCGGTCCAAGGACCACAAATCCTCTCAAATTCTGCATTTTAACAGAGAAAATGGGCCCCCAGCAACTTCACTATCACCTGAGTGGGACAATCCCCCACCCCACCCCCTGCAGTCAGTCAGACAACACCGCTGGTCCTGAAAACAATCTCTGGGTAAAAATCAAATCTATCTCCAAATAAGCTTGGCATGCAGAACGCCAACCCTGAAAACATAAAATGAATGTTTTCACAGCTTGTCTGTGCCAACGGCTCCTTTGTTTACCCTCAGAGACATCACAGTGGACTGTTCCTCCCCAAAGACACAACTGGAAGAACCACAGGACACCCTTGAAGGGACATTTCTGGTGACCCAGGAACCACCAACAGAGCACAGGCCCAGGAGGCCCACATTTCTGGAGCCAGGAGTTCTGCACACACCCTGCCAGGCCTGTGTCAACTGCTTCTTCATGAGGGTCCTGTCTACCTCTCCGCTCCAAACACCCACGGTTCTTTCTTGAGTCTGACTTTCATTGTAGTGAACTTACGTCATTCCTGAGGCATTCGGTACTTCACAAGCAGCTTTCTTCTGCTAGGATTACAGGCTCTTTGAAGAAAGGGAGTCATTACCATCTTGATGGCATCCATGGCTCAGAGCACAATGCCCAAATGTCTACTAAAGAAAGATCAAATACTTTACAAATCATGACTTACTACTGTTACTCCCTGGGATTTATACAGCGCCCGACCTTACAAAACCCACCCATGCAGGCAGCCAAT